TGTAAATGAGTATTCATGATCTGAAATAAAGAAGCAACTGGTTTTCAACATTTTACTGAACTTACGAGTACAGTCCGCCATGCAGACACAAATGGCGCAAATGGGGAATTCTGGAATCGACCTCGGGACCATTCGATGCAGTAAAACAACCCAACATGACCTTATCTAATTTTCGCCTCCACGATCAAATTTCTTTCCTGTTATGAAACTACCATAAGACTGCTGAAAAATGTAACAAATATATCACTGATCTCAACATAATACATCAATAAACTCCAAGCCATGGGTGCTGTTCACAACAAAGTTATATAAGAGAATTGACTTCAAGCTTTATTTTTCCCATATATCTGTATTACATTCATGTGATGTCTGGGTTTTTTGTTAATGCGAAGACAATATTTCTATATCTCTTTATGTGCTACACAAACAGCCTTTATAGAAGACTGTTCCGACTGGCTCTAATGTCAGAAAGAACAACCAAACTGTAAATTCATCATACATCAAATTATGTGTAATTTGTATAATAACTTATCCATGACTGTACGATTGGTATGTTCCTGCACGAACAGGAAGAAATATGTTTTATATTATTATTATTTCCGTCGAAATACTGAGTTTCAAATTTAGGCCTATTATCCCTAGACTGCGAATCATGAACAACAGATTCATCATGCTGAGCATCATACATATCATTAGAATAAAAAGCAACTCAGCATTACTTACTTTTCTGTCTGATTCCAAAGCGCTCTGTCCCTTCTTTGACACAGGCATCACTGAACTTGACCTAACGATCCAGAAAAGTTCCAGATAACACTTTTCCCAAGAAGACGAGCAAACACCAGGAAAGGCGAACAGATACTATCAGAAACTGTCAGCCAACTCTCATAAACTGTCAATGTCCAGATCTTGACCTCACGCTATCCCGCAAAGACTTTCAGAAACACTTTGTATTAACCAACGCGAAAACCAGAACACTGGCGACTCGAGAATCCTTTATTCTTACGCCAACATGTGGGCTCTGCACAGATTTATGGGGCATCTTATAAACTAACTTGCTGTCCATTGTCGGATCTTTAAATACCACTTCACAATGTCTTATCTCATTCATTTTCCAATAACGTCTTTACTTGATCCTCATTATATTCCATTAAACCTAACATTTTATAGCTTCTTATGAATTTGATTCGACTTATTCTATTCCTATTCTCTATAGGGTACGGTTGTGCACCAAATGCACATAAAGGCATAAAATAAAAAAACCGGCATGAGGAAAGAATGTATTAAAACCAAAAGTGGACATCATGATAGTGCAAACTTTACAGGAAGCATTATACATTGCAAATGAACGTTGTCAGCCTAGGAAGTTTCCTTTATTAATCCATTTATTAGTGATACTTGCACCTACTCATTTCATTACACTTTATTGATTCACCTTCGCACCTTTACTTTTCTAAAACCCACAAATATAACCCCAGTTATCTCACGAATCATGGAGAAAGTTGTAAAAGATCAATTGTCAGACTACCTAATTAGGGAAGATCTTGTTACAAGGTCTCAACACGGATTTCTCAAAAATAGATCCTGCGTTACTTGCCACTTCGACTTTTTCAACTGCATCACTAGTAGTCGCGAAGCACGTAAGCTAGTCGTTGTTCTCTACTTCGATATATCTAGGGCATTTGACATGGTATCTCACAGTATTCTCTTTGAGAAGCTGTACTCTTGTGGAATTCGCAACCCATTACTGAACTGGTTAAAATCATTTCTAAGCAACAGGGTACAAATAACCAAAGTTGGATCTGTATTGTCTCATCCTAGGCAGATCTCAAGTGGGGTCGTGCAAGGTAGTGTCCTAGGTCCACTTTTATTCACAGTCTACATTAACAGCATTTGCAAGTGCTTCACCTCAGGTAAACCATTCCTATATGCTGACGACCTCAAAGTCGTCTACTCCTGCTACACTCATGAATTAAGCGATATGGTTACTAAAATACATCTTGAACTAAGTAGTCTCGCAACATGGTGTGCTGAATCCTGTCTAAACTTTAACATTGACAAATGCGGCTGGATTTGTATCGGCAACAGTAAGCTTGATCTAACTCTTGAAATAAATGGGCGAAAACTAGCTAAGCTCAACTCAGTCGTAGATCTCGGTATTAGATACTCTAGTAACCTAACGTTCGCTGAACAGACTGATTATGCCAGACGTAAAACGCGAAGGCTGATAGGATGCATAACACGCAATTTCTTTTGTTGTGAAACTAGGGTTTTATTATACAAAGTATGTGTCCGACCTATCTTAGAATACTGCCCGTTTATTCTTAGCGGACTCAGACAAAATGACAAGCTTAAATTAGAGGGAGTGCAACGGCAGTTTACCTCAAGAACTCTTGGTTTAGAAAGTGGTCTGGAATACCATGAGCGATGCGAAAGACTAAGATTAGAACCCCTCTGGAAAAGACGCCTTAAGCTAAACCTTATCTTTTACTACAAGCTAACTAATCTTCTCTTGCATTCCTCCGAGCCAATAACTAAACCTACCGCTGTCATCAGTTACAATCTTAGAAATCATCACAACCTAGCTGCTATGGAGCACTGTCAGACTTACGTGCGGTACAACTTCTTCTTAAATAAGTTTTCAGTCATTTGGAATAGACTACCAGCTAATGTGCGCGATGCAAACACACTTCCAGTGTTCATCTCCTCAGTCACCAGACTGCTCAAAGATGACAATGCACTTTTGCGTCTGACTCTTACACCTTCTTTTTCACCCTACATAGATATTTTAAGTTCTTTAAACGTGTAGTTACAACAAACTACAATTATAAATTTTAATATTATTGGAACTAGATGATAAACATTTCTACACAGGACAGTAATATTAGTTCACACATAATATAAAAGTTAGCATAACGGGACTAGTTAGTTTGTGTACCAAAATAACCACAGTTACTAAACAGAATATATATGTATATATTTATTAATCACTCCTTAAGGACTCCCGTTGCTTTCTTTTGCGTTGCTGTTGTTTGTCTTCTTTTTTCTCTCACCATTTCAGCTTCCATTTGACTTTTTGAATGAGAATGAATAATGTGGATATTTGACCATTTACAATGACAAATGATCTGCAAACATTATTGGTCCCGTATCTTTCAGTTGCCTGGTTAATAACGAATTAACTTTCTCCACGACGCAACCTGGATTACATTTGTGGAATATACTCTTATACCAATGGAAAAGTATCAATTTGTAATACAACGTCACGATTGTAGCTTATAACATAACTGATCGTATCTGTAAAATAGCTTCCTTATTACCCAATTTGGATATAAATCAAATCAAAAATAAGATTCGGATTTGTACACACCCAAGTTATATTGAGGAATTACTTCAAGCTTTATTTTTTCCCAAGTATTTTTAATCCATCCAAAACTTACTTGGGTTTTTTTGTTAATGCGAAGTTAATATTCCTATATTTCATGACGTGCTCCATTGAATGACTGGTTATCATATTGTTCCCACAGACCTAAGACAAAAACGCCAGCAACCATGTAACTTAACCATAAACCGAATTTATGAAATTTAAATAATGCTTACCCATGCCTGTATATTTGGTGTGTCCTACACAAGTAGGAAAAAATGTGTATTTTATTAAAACATTATTATTAATTATGATTGCTAATCGTATATGTAATTTATCATATTGATGATGCCTGTAAACTGGCGTCTCTCATGTAGAAAATGAGAATATAGTACTATTATTATTATGTGCTACACAAACAGACTTTATAGCAGACTGTTCCGACTGACTCTAATGTCAGAAAGAACAACCAAACTGTAAGTCCATTATACATCAAATTATGTGTAATTTATATAATAACTTATCCATGCCTGTACAATAGGTATGTTCCTGCATAAACAGGAAGGAATATATTATTATTATTAAAACAATATTTATGCATGCCTATACAATTGGTGTACCCTACATAGCTAGGGAAAAAAATGTACTTTATTATATTATCTTTACTAAATATGCTTATTAATATTGTGTGTAAATTATCGAATTGATGATGCCTGAAAACTGGCGTCCATCATGTAAAAAATGAGAATATATATTATTATTATTATTATAAACTTAACCCATCGTACTCAACTCAACGTCAAACTGCTACAGCCTCTTGGTATTTTAGAGGTTGACGGATATCTCGTTCAACAACTTCTAATTAATTTATTCTCGCGTACCAAAGACAAAGCAAAAGCCAATAATTGATCGTCCAAACTAAGAGATATATTTAGGAACCAAAACAAGCCGTTAGACGAACGCTTAGCTAGCTAGTGATCGTGCACGTGACACGACGGGGTACCAAATGGCGGGGATGCTTGACCGGAAGCCTTCAGCTAAACAAGTCGACTTAAACAGTGGTGGTCAGCATCCAATGAGTGATTGCTGTGGTCAATAATCTTGGGGAATTATTTACCGCTACAGTATCAACACAGAACGCAAACGTCTCGTCAAATATAACTAAGTTCCTGGTGCTTTGAGGGCCAACACTACTACGGAGAGACAGATATCAAACTAACGAGGCGGAAGTTCGCTAAAGAACACTAAACTTCGTCGCCCATCATGTGTGATCTAGAAATAATTGACTTGTTTCATATTAGGACTCTCGCCGACCACGCACATGGTCCGAGGTTCGATCCCCTACCGACGCACACCTGATATCTATGGTCGGCCTGCAGAATTTGGGCTACCGATATCCATGCTGAAAATTCCATACTTGTACCAAAAATACAGTGTGGAATCAAACTGTAATAAAAAAGTGGTATTCTGGTGGTAACTCTTAAACAGGCTGTACAGAGCTCATTATAAAAGCATTGTTGAGGTATTGAACTAGAAGCAGTAGAAATATCACTGAACAAGCCAGAATTTCCAGTAAGACATATTAATTATTGTTCACTCCAACAGTCGTATAAATGAAAAGTTTTGTTAATTGATATCCTTTACCCGCAGCTCGATATTCAAATTCCCTCACAGGTGCTGCGCACGCTTTTGAGTCTTGAACTGCGCTATGGATCAGTCACTGATAAATGAATTGACGAACTGCCTACAACACACACTATCACCAGATCGAGAGAGCAGGAAGTCGGCAGAATCATATCTAAAGGCTGTGGAACTACGCCCGTCTTATTGCCTATGTTTACTTAGGATTCTTCAGGATTCCAATGTCCCTCTCCCTACACGTATGGCCGCGGCTATTACTCTGAAGAATTTTATAAAAAACCGCTGGCATGTCGTAAGTGTGGGGTGAATTTTTTAAAATTATTTTCTGAATTCAAAATACAGTCATTTCAAACCATTTTTCTTACCCTAGGACGTTGAAGCCTATAGTGCTTGTCGGCTCGTCTTCAGCCTTATTTTCAACCAATTTCAAGACCATTTTAGGCAAATCCCTCTCATTCGAGGTTTCCTTATGCCTCTAGAAAGGCTACAACCATAGACAGGTACCACTTTTTGGCTAACGTCCTTACCATCTCAGCAAAGCTGTTAAACCTCAGAAAACAGTTTTCTTTGGCCCCTCAGAATAACAACGGACTGTTTCTCAACCTTATGTGTAGTTTTGTGTTATGTCACTGTAGATCTCGTCAAAAACCGATGTCAGTTAGCCAATCACTGAAAACCAGGAAGTACTGTATGGTGGTTTCGTCCCAGATTAGTACTCTTCAACAATACGCACCCAAGACTTCACAACAGATCGAATCCAAGACCTTCAGGTTTCAAGACCAGCTTGTTAAGTATGCATCCACTGGGGATGGTACTCTAGGATAAGCGAATTCAGTTAGCAATAGAGCTTATTGTTAACATTGGGATTTTAAAAATCCTCACTAACCATCCGACTATTCTGTATCCCGTGCATCATCATCCATTGTAGCTTCATTACGTTTCATTTCTTAACATTTTTATGTGCTTTTCCGAAGTATAACGACTTGAACTTATGTACTTCTGTGCAAAGTCCTACGTTGTTAATTCGGTCAGTTCAACGAAGCATGAAATTAGTCCTGTCACACTTACTGTTTCAAAGGACTTTTGACTAAAATAGTTATGTCTTCAGCTAGCTTCAAAAGTGAGTCAGATTCCACTGGGTTGTTTCCTGTATATGTATGCTTTTGATGATTAATTGATTTTAAGGTACTTTGATGGACTGTTCTGTCAGCGAAGTTTGCAGTGTGGCTAACGTGCTAGTTGGTTCATCGTCACAGTGCACTCCGAACTGTTGTTATTAGATGGTTGGAGGCAATCGGCCGGAAGTTCTTCTTCACCTAAGTCTCGTGCTTGTTTGTATTCATCACTCAGCAAAGGATATCTGAAATCTTGGAGGAACTCATTTCCCTCCTGGTGTTCGAACCCATGTTACCCATCGTTGCATCCATGGAGGTTTCCACCGAGCTATCCGGACTGATGATCGACCTGTCAGACTGTATTGGATGCTTTGATTAGACACTAGACAGTGTCACGTCTCAAATCCTTGGTTTCGTTCGAATTGAATTCTATCATTTGTTAAACTTGGTTCGCCGAAAAGGTATCTTTGCTGAACTTCGTGTTCTCTTCTTTCTAAACTTGGTTCCTCATGGCATCCATTATATAAGTTACTATGAAGTATCAGTAAGCTGTTGTATCCTCCTGTTATCATCTCTAATTGTGGTTTTTTATTTAGAATAAACCTAATATAGTATGCACACCAGGATTTACACCATCGTCTTGGTTCTAGGTCATATTTGATAAAAGGTCGAGCCATTAAACTCCATTCAGGAAGTTTTGATGCACCGACAGGTTAACCCCACAAAAATCCATTTTACTCCACAGCAACACGTCACATGTGATGTCCTCCGCCATTGCAACCAGTTTAAGTGTTAAAAAGGTGGACAGTTTGGAAGCCGCTGGTCTTCGGAATATCACTAACGACAACTTTAAAGAGAAACTTTGGAATTGGGCAAATATGTCCAATCCTAACTGCTAGTTTAAAACAGTATTAGAAGACTCTAATGTCAAGAAATATGATTGTCGGTCTGCAGCAAGTGTGACAGTGTTCTGACAACGTAAATGCTTCATGGATTAGTTTTCGCGAACTGAATGACTCACGAGCTGACATCAGTTAGAAAACCAATGGAAAACCTAGGAGTACTGGACACTTGTTTCCTACGTCCTAGTTTGGGACTTTTCATCAGTACGCACCCACCGGGGTTCGAACCCAGGACCTTTTTGTTTACAAGGCGAGCGAGCTCGTAGACCATTAAACCACTGGGACCCGATCCAATGGCCCATGAACTGAGTTGAGCTTTCCATTGAATTGTCGTTCCATATTTGTGTGCAGGCTGAGACACTGTGCGAACGCCTAGGTTGAAATAGGTCTCCTAAATTTGACCATTCCCTGGAGTCAGGTCTGCAAAGTGACAGTGAAGCGTCAGTGGCCGCATTCCCATGGTTCCAGGTAGCCAGACACGTTCTTTCTGACCATAGAGCCCGTAGGTATTGGAATCAGGGTTTTCCTATCTATATCCCCCAATCTAGTGATCAGTGCTGGACACTATACTCTGACACTTATTATCCAAGCAGTGTGATTAGAAAACGATATCAAATCCGCATAGACGTTTGTATACACTTCAAGGTGAATAAATTACAACTTCCTCTTCTGTCACGCTCTATTAAAATAAAACTTTCATTTCACCCCTTAACAATATAATCATCCCTTCCTATCCTACTAGGATCCTGAAGAAACAGATAATATACAAGCATCTGATCGTGAAGGTTTACGCAATCAACTTATCGGAGCTATGCTTTCTGTATCAGGCAATTTACAACCACAGCTATCTGAAGCTATAAGTACAATTTGGCGTGAAGATTTCCCGCATAGATGGCCTAATTTAATTCCTGAATTAGTTCAACGAATGGCTCAACTTGGTGCAGACTTAAGCATGGTTCATGGAGTTCTGTATACTGCGCATACATTGTTTAAAAGGTAACTATGGTTGGTTTATTTTTTTATACCTATTCCATTATCTAATTTGATCTGCTCAGTGGGTTTCGTCTTTATTGAAAGTATTTATTCTGCCTTCTCGTTACTCTTCTTTGTATGATTCTGTGATAAGTTGGACGATTAGTGCTTGTTTAAAAAATATTAGTTTAGTTATGTACTTAGTTGTTCTCTAAATAGAGTTTATGCAATTATCTAGTTTCATACAGATACAACTTTTCAACCAACTTTAAGCTGAGGTGTGTTAGGTACTTGACTTTCAGTCAGTGATTTTCGACTTTGTAGCATTTACATCCCAGCTTAGGCAACCATGGTAGTATCCTAAACCCTCATATGTGGTCCATAACCATTTAAGCAGTTCTGTACTAACGTGCCTTATCGATCAAATGACTATGATTAAGTTCATATTGATGACCCAATTGTTTTGATTGTAGGTTCTTTTATAGAGTGACTTTAGTAAATTTGTTCTTTATTCAAACAAAGGCTTCATACGTTGAAAGCACCAAGAAATGCGCCACACGGAATCTCATAGTTTGTATGAGGGCTGGAGTACTTACTGCCCAGATGCCTAAACCTAAACAGGTGGTTATATGAATTGTGATCCACAAGGCACCGAAGCGAAGCAGTGTCAGGATCCCGGTGACCACCAACACAGGTCCTCTAGATGTGTTCATCAGTCCGGTTGTAGGCGTTAGAAGCTCACATTCAGCCTGCATGAAGGTGGTGAATGGGACTTTGTTTGGCACAAGATATGTGAAGTCGTGACCATATGGCAGCATTTCAAGAGGAAGACCAAAGTCTAACATCGACTTCTAGCATAAATATTGAGAGTGAAGAAATAGAGCGTGATGACTACTTCACTTGTTTGGGAAGTTGCATAATCCCCAGTGGGCTGGTCGCTGATGAAATCTCAGCACAGCTACAAACTCCTGGTTTGACATCTCTGGCGTAGACATGATATCCGGCTGTAGATCAAGGGATATGTATATTGCTCAGCAGTTCGCTCCTTTATGGTTGTGAGTGAAACATAGTCATTGAAAGTGGAAGATACGAGAAGGCTAGCTGTCTTTGCCTATCGTAGTTGTCTGCTTTCTATCTCCCATGTTAGGTGACATAAGAGGGTGAGTAATATTGAGGTGAGGCATCAGTCGAGTGCTAGGTGATTGGAGGGGAAGTCGATCGACGAGGTTGTGAAAGCAGCTGCATCGATTAAGATTCTTAGGACATGTGTTACGCATGTATACATGTATACCTAGCTATCTATCGCTTTCCTCGATGAGCAGTGTAAGCTGACTGACAAAGAATTGATGAGGTTGGAAAAGGGTTAGCCAGTTATTGGTCAGACGAAAACATGGCTTTATGAGTCATTGAAATCCATAATAGTTTACCCCGGCTAGCCATGTAGTGAAGTGTAAAGTTCTTGACTGGTTGGGGTCCTCGGGATGGAAACGACAGTTGGCGATATAGCTCAAAATCGTTCTCAGTGGCTCAGATGTATTCATGCTTTGTGATTTGTCATATCCAGTAAAACTATTCTTCTTCCATATTACTATTTTTTCCCCTCACACTTCTGTCTATTATCTCTCTTTACTTTATCCTCTTGGTTTGTGTGCTACATGAAGGAAGAGTGGGAACTTGGACTGCTGCACATCTGTGCAAAGTTCTATTTTGAAGTCAGACAGTCAAGTCAGTCAACTTTGAATGTATCACTCGTTGTTTTTGTTTAAGGCAGACACAGTGGTTACTTTTACGTTTCATCAAACATAATTCATACATCCGAGATTCCTATATACTGCAAATGCACACGAAATTCACTCGTGTTACGGTGTAGTGATGAAAGTATTACCTTCGCTAACTGCGCACCCTCCTAAAGGTATTCTTTTGCATACAGCTGGATGCCTAACACTTATGGGAGATATTATCACTACCACGATGACTTAATCGTTGTATTAATCCTCTTATATCCCCCTCGCAATGTTGATTCATTTTTACTTTCTTTCTTTTATTTTTTTACACATTGTTAGATATCGTCATGAATGCGCGGGTTCCGAGCTCTACACAGAAATGAAGCTTGTAATTGGTCAGTTTGGTGCACCACTCACAGAACTTGCAAAAGTAAGTTATCCTTAGTGTTCAAATCATTTTGTGGGGTTTAGTAAAAGGTTGCCTTGTCATGTTATATGCACTATGACATATGCTTCACGTTTTTAAGTCCCATTGTCAATTACTTTTGACTGTCTTTTTTGTTCTGTTCTGTTCTGTTCTGAAACATCTGCACAGCTTATCAGTAGGTATGACTTCCCACAGTGACAAACAGTATCCTCCTCTCATTGTTTTTATGTAAGGAACTTTATTATACGTAGGGTTTTGTTTCCTGAGATCACACTTGTAATGATATTGCTCGTCTTACAGCAGTTCCAAGTATAGAAAGAGTCTTCCTACGCTAATCAATGGGGCTATCAGCTTGACTAACATAGTGTCTAGAATTCCACGCACAATAATCCTGCATGGAGTATGCGGTGCTCAGGAGAAACTGGTGAAAAATAGTTAGCCTTTAGTCCAGGAAAAGAATTTACTGACCATGAGTATCTTCACTCTTCACTTGACCTGAAGACGGAATTGGGCTCCGTCTGCCTAGAGGTACTGCGGTGGTGTTTGACTATGAAGGGAGTGCCAAGGAAGTGCGTCGTACTAATCAAAGCACTCTACTCGAACTCACGCTGTTGTGTTAGGACTTACAAGGTATTGTCATCTGAAGTGATGGCAACCAATGGTGTCGATTAGGGGTGCCAACTGTCTCCATTTTTGGTTGATTTCATCATAGATGTGCTAATGGACATAATTCTAATAGACTTTCAATGACTAAGAGATTGACTTTTTACCAAAGGACAGTCTCATCGACTTAATGTATGTGAATGATGTCCTTCTAGCTGAAGACTGTGGCGAAATACATAGTCTTCTAGACATCTTGAGCAGAAATCTTCGGATGTTGGGCATGCGATTAGCCCTTATCAAATGTAAGATGATGCTTGCTGGTTTGCATCGACTTCCAGTTTAAAGATACAACGTGAAATGATTGAATGTGTGGACCACTTCACTTATTTGGGGAGTTGCATCAACCTTAACCATGATTTTAGCGGTATATATAGGCGTCCGCGTATTTTAAGATTCTCATCTTACATTAAATTGTAGTGCTGTCGGTGGTTTAACTGTGGAACACTCGTCAACCACACATATGATCCAGGGTTCGATCCGAAATCGATGCGCTCCTACACTTCAGCAAGCTGGCAGTAAACCTGGTAAAGAGGAAAAGTTAAGACGTAAGGTTAGCAACTCCACTGTGTAAGAGGAACAACGCCAAAGCTACTCAAAACTTCAGAGCTCAAGTGTGAAGTCCTATGTTCCACACGGAAAGCAATGGAATAGAGAAATTAGCCTCAGCACAGATGCAAAAGGCATGTGTTGCATTTACAAACATAAGTCATCTCTGACGTAGACGGGATGTTTTTGCTGCACAGCAGTTCCCCATTTCCTCATTTAGGCTTATAACATACATGACTGTCGAAAGTGAAAGACATGTGACTGCAGTTTTTGACTGTAGGTATTTTCCATTCTATCTCTCTTGGTAAATAGTATAATATGGTGAATAATATTGAGGTTAAGTAGAAAGACCTCAGTCGAGACAGTAAGATCTAATGGCTGGAGACTGTTGGTGAATATGGACTAAAATCGTCCTTAGTGGCACAGATGCATTCACACTCTATAAACTCCAGAATCTAATATATTCTAATCATTATTCATGTACATATTCTCCCCCTCCGTCCCCTATACTCCCACTTATTATGACTCCTTAGCATTGTTTTTTTGTTGCATTTGTGTGTCTTTATAAAATGTGGTTATTTGAACTACTATGGCACCTTTGTGTAAAGTTCTGCGTTGAAAACTCAAAATCACTTTCCGCTTTAATCCACGTCATGGAGGTGTTTGTATATTGTATTTGTTAAACGTAACGTGAACTTATTTTCACAGTCTAGCCTGTAGCGCTGTCCAACTGCTTGTCTGTGAGCGACAGTTCTGTGAAAAAAATCGATTATACTTTAAACGGTGTTGAAGTTTGTAGGGTATTTTTTCGGTGTGGTTTACACACAGTCCTACTCTGTATTAATAATAAGGTTTAGTATTACTGTCAAATAGCTAAATGTTTCAACTGCACACATAAATTTAGTTTGTGTGTGGGTGCCGGAATACTTCCTGAATTCCCAGACCGAAGCAGATGGTTGTCCTGAAGGGCCGGCACCAGAGCCTTTGACTCGAACTGTGATCCACAAGGCAGTAGAGCTAAGTCAGCATGGTTGCCGGTAACCAAAACAGGTTCATACACTGTTCAAATTCTGGAGCCCACGTCTACCTTAAGTTTGCAATCAGGGTTTTCCAGCTCCCCTAGGTAGGTAAGTACACCTGCATCTACACCAGTCTGGTTCGTATTCACCCTTTCACTTTTGCGGGGGATACTGTCGCGGCTCGTGAAGGCAGTGAGTAGGACCTATCTGGCAGAGGCTGTGAATGTGTGTGGTCACATAAGTGATATCAGCTCGAGAGGAGGACTTCAGTCTACCTAACCACCTTCGGCCGTATCACGTGGTTTATGGTGTTTCACAGGGCATACTATTCACATTATGACTTATTTACAAAAACTCTAATCATTCTTCTTCTGTGTTTTTTTCTTTACCTATGTTTATCCCCATTAGAACCTTCTGGCGTTAGTTGTGGGAGGAAGTCAAAACATGGATCCACCACGTCTGGTTACAGCTCTTCAATGTTTGCTGCTCGTCTGTAAAATATTTCTTAGTCTTAATTGTCAGGTATGTGAATATATATATTGTATCAATTTATTGTAACCTTACAGTTTTTATTTTTACATAACCTGACTTTTATAATTTGAGGTGTTTTGTAGCTAATTATTTTGTAGAAGAAGAATCTTGGCTTTAGAAATTTTACATTCTCTAATTAGCTATGCGTCAGGGCTACCTAAGTTCTGTCAGCGACGTTTACGATGTTGTCGCCAGGCTAGGTGACTGACCATTGCGATGTACTGTGGGTTGATGTCAGTTGGTTTTAGCAAAAGTCAGCAGAAGGCGCTTGACCTAAGTTTCGTGCTTATCGTAGCACCCCACCTCGAAGGAACTAAGATTTGAATCTGCGTCATCCAGTACTGCAGTCAGTAGCATTACCACTAAGCTATCCGAGCCAGCCCAGATAGCTAATAAAGAAGAAATCTATGTTCATAGCGTTCTTGACGATTGTCTGGCAATACTAAAGTATAGCGACCCGGGCAAGAACAATCAACAAACTGACCTCGTACAACCCATCAGACGAGCCTCATTGAACCAATCATCATCCTGTTCTTGTATTTCAGTACTTTTTTGATAAGTTGCAGGACTTCATCATGAGCTGACATCAGTTAGAGAACCATTAGAAGCCACCAGGGAGTACTGGACAGCTGTTTCGTCCTAGTTTTGGGCTCTTGATCAGTATGCACCCGCCCCGCTAATCTCGAACCTAGGACCTTCCAGTTACAAGGCGGGTTCGTAAATCACTAAGCCACTGGGATCAAATCCAGTGGTCAACCCGTGAATTCCAACTTCTTCCAATTCACGATATAGTGCGACTGGCACTATCCAGTGTCTTCGTTGGTGAGTATTTGTCCTCACACCCGACCTCCTGTAATACGCTTTTAGGAAGGACCCATTGTCAAACGACTTGTTAAAGGCTAGAATAACAACTGTCCACGCGGAAAAATGGAGGAATTACCGAAGGACTATATTAATAACACTGTAAATCATTCTTTTGAGTTGATTAATCCGTCCATTGGCACGCACCCACACCAGTTACTGAGATCAACTCTGTAAGCATTTGATTTGAGCATTAGATTGGTTACGAAATGATATGATATACAGCCATCTTAATGAATTCATATACAGAAATTGGTTTGGAGTAACATTGAGAACTGCATCGATGAACTGGAAGACATCTGTAGAACACATATAAGGGGTCATCGTCCTGTATAACCGTCTTACATCACGTAATTGATTTTCTGTGAAATTTTCTACTCAAACACCTTTGATTTGGTTTGCTTGCTTCGGTCCCCATATATTAGTCTTACCACTTAACAATGCATTCATAAGCATAATAATTTGCTTTATTCCGAAACAGTACGTGTGATAGAGAATGGAATTCCCAGCATTTTACTACAGTATTACATCCAGTTAGTATATTAACAATAATAAAATTCTACATAGCTTATGGGTAGTCTCAGTTAGTTTTGACAACAACCTATTGGTACGTCAGTAGCAAAGCCAAAATTGAACAGAGTGTTTGAAGGTGTTAGAAAAGTAGATACTAGTATATTTACTGGCGTAAGTGGTAACAAAAAGGTCGAGAGTGTGAAATAACGATGAAAAATGTTTTAAGTAAAGTTTGTAAGGAAGAGAGAAACAAAACAGCGCATAACAAAAAAAGGCGTACCTATAAATGATATGAGTTGGAAAGACGAGTTCCAGTTGTTCTGCTGACTATTTAATCAGTTATAGGTATCACGCGTAATGCTTTCTTTATCGCACAGAACACGAGCTAAGTAGGGGATGGTTGAGTTTTTGTACTTGCTAGTGCGAGCATATAGTTTTCTATATAGGCTTCTGATCCTGCTTGATGAGATACAAGGGGAGAGTTGTGAGGGTGGTGTGAGTTAGATAGATAAAATGGATTTAGCCCATTTTTCACATGAGTCCAAGTGCCTGTCGACCAGAATATTAACAAGCTAGTTAAGTGGCACGTTGGTTACCCTGTTGACAACCTTTAACATCCTACGTAATAAGATATGGTCCTTCTTCAGTAGCCCTGGAAAAAGTAAGGGGAAACAATAGAGAATAATTGACAGGATGCAAGAGTTAACGAATCGTAGGAGTATATCCATCGAAAAAACTCTTTTCAACAAGTTTACTAAGGGTCTCTACGATCATATATATATATATATATATATATATATATATATGGTTTTTATATTTTAAGAAATTATAACCCGTGAGGAAATTCAAATAAATGTGTGAATACATAAAATAATAATAATCGTATGAAGTGCAATTAAAATGTTTGAGATTATAATCATAGTTAACTATCAAGTGTCAAGCGGTAAAACAACTAATATGAGAAATAGAATAATTCATAGGATGGAAGGGGGTACGTAATTTTGCAATTAATAGTGTTCTCTGAGCTGGTTGGTTTAGTTGTGGAGCTTTCGTCGTCCTTCTGGACGGCATCTTCAGCGCAGTATTTAGCATAGAGTTCAATGATTTAAAAATCTCCATGAATGATGATACAATTGCGTCTCCTGGTGACCGACCATAATTATACGTAATTATACGGTTGGAAGGCAAATATGAAACGTCACATATAACATGGTGTAAAATTTGATAAGATTAGAATTTAACACCGTTAAAAACAGCTTTTTGGATTTAGAATGAAAAGTAGGACAAGTAAAAACAGGTCAAAGTGAGAATAAAGGAAAAAGGTACATAGATTAACTAAATAAACAAAATAAGTAAGTAAATGTCTATCCCTTTACGGTCAAGACAGAAGTGTAGGTATTGTACATACTTCTTTTGTGCACAAAGCTTTAGCTGAAATTCATGACTAGCCAAGGCCTCCACTGTCTTTTGAAGTTTATAATGAAGGAAATGCGGTAAGTTGGCATGAATTTGATAGATGATCTTGAAATCATGGTCAAGGGTAGTGGTGGTAGAGTGGTGACAGGAATCGATCAAGTGTTTTCTAGAATAGAGCGTCTCATACCCTTCCCTGTCTCTCTTGTAAGATCATGCCGGAATATGTGTTCTCGTATTGCGTGTGTGTGTGTGTAAAGCATTCTCTGGCCTACGGTCAGTGTTCCTTGCTCCACAAGAGCAGGTGAACTGATAGAGGTGCACATGGAAGAGGCGACCAAACGAAGGAGCTTATCTTTTACAGAGATAGAGAACAACGTACTGCTGGTGAAGGTAGGCCATTTGTAGTTTTGCAGCAAAGAACATCTTACACTAACTGACTTCGAGAGACGAGTTTTGAGCATATCTGTGATGCCTGGTCACTTTTTGATTCCAAATTTATGAATATAGTTTTCTTTGCAACTGAGCCTTTCTTTTATATTGTATATTAGTTAATTTTATGGAAGAAGTCATGGGCTGGTGAGTACATCCATTTCAAGTTATGTGTTCCTCTTGCCTACAAACGAAATCTTATCAGCACTCTGATGTTTATCGTGCTGGAAAAGTCTGCACAATCGACACTCTAGATGATGAAATAAGGAAAATAGAAAACTTTTTATATGAGAACGGATACCCTGAAAAATTTGTTAAAGTCTCCATGAGGAGAACAGACAAGAAAGAAATGCCTGTAAACGGTGCAGAAGAAGCGTATATACGTGGCTTAACCGTTTAAAGGAGACACAGCAACTAAATTGCTGGCTTCAAAACTTTGAAGAATATTAGCTGAAATACTTTTTGCCCCACAACATTGTATTTAAAATTCGCCACTTGTTGCATAATTCGAACACAGGTGAAGGATAAGCTGTGTGCATTTATAAATTTAACTGTTCATGTGAAGACAGTTACATAAGTTGGTAGAACGACTCAAAAAGCCCTTCGGCCCCTTCTAGAGCATTGTTCAAACGTGGTTACTTAGGTAAACGAGTTGTAAAGTCAATCAAAAGTTCCATACTGGCACACTTTGTGGTGGATATGGTGCACAAGTTCGGCAAAAAGTCAGCGTTAACAATTCTATACAAGATGGTGCCATCTCAACTCCCTCTTAGGTTGGTACGTCTTCGGTTGCTAAGACTAGCTGAGGCAGTCGCCATAATGATTTTTCAACCTAATCTCTGTGTTCAGAAAAAGTCTGTTCCATGCCTCTTCCAACCTTGGCCTTCGCCTCCAATCTAAAATAGTTATCTCTCCCGGTGACACTGGATAACTATAAATTTTATTTGTAATGCTAACTGTAGTATCAATATCATGTTGTGGTGTAGTTGTACATCTTTAAATCTCGGTTTCTTAATCTACCATTATTATTATATAATCTAATCGCTATGTGACAACAGCCATTGTCCCGTTTACCCCCACTAGTATTCACATTCTACCTATACACTCGCTGTTGCCTAGATATTATATAAACACGAATGAATTCATCCTTGGTATTATTATTATTATTATGATCACCTCGATTACTATCGATTAATTCACATCTCTGAACTCTGATCCATTATAACTAATATTTTATTATATCATTGTGTAAAGCCTGATGAGAATGTCGTGAATGTCGCGCTATGTCATGAATTGGCAGAAGTTAGAATTCATGTGTTGGCCATTAGATCGGGTCCCAGCGGCTTAATGGTCTACGAGCTAGCTCGCCTTGTAACCAGAAGGTCCTGGGTTCGGACCCCGGCGGTGGGTGCGTGCTGATGAAGAGCCCCAAACTAGGAGGTAGAAAACGACTGTCCAGTACTTCATGCATTTATTCCCCTTGATGAATTTGAATAAAGCAAGAACAACAGTGGTGGTTTGTGCAGAATAATATGGTACCATCATTGTTTATTTCTTTGGCTTCTCATCAGCTGCTTACAGCTTATATAAATTATTAGGTAAAATACAGAAACGTTTCAACATACTTGCAAATTTTACATGTTGTCAGTTGACAGAAAGTTCCACAATTAGTAAACAGTGCTCAGAAAATTGCGCTTATATAGTTTGTACACAGGCAGTTCAAGTTAAAACAAAATAAATGCATGCATATAATGGTAAAGGAGTTACATAATAAAGATGAGATATGCGTTAGATGCAGAGTGACTAATAAGTTAGGTAACAATGTACTGAGTAGAAGTCAAATCATAGAAACACGAGACAAGCAAATTACAGATTATAAAAGGAGGGTGAGGTTCAAGACAAAGATTATGTAATCAGATGAGAGAGAGAGAGAATAAAGACATCCAGTTACCAGGAAGGAAGGAAAGACTAATAAATGCTTCTTTCTGAACACATAAATCTGGTTTCAAGCGTTTGATAAAATTTGCTTCGACAAACTTGAGGAGAATCGAGCTCCTTTGTCTATTTCTCGATTTCCACCTCATGACCCGTGTCGAGGAGATGTCTGGTAATAACGCTACTATAAGAGTTTGTTCCCTTGAGACGTAGGCTTTTCGGCACATGTTCAGAATAGGCTCTGGCTAGTGATGTTCTCAGTCTTCTGTTGATCATTTCTGTAATGTTTTCACCTTTAAAATCTAGTTAAATGAAGACAGGCTTTTTTCAACTGTGATTTGTTTGGTATTTGAGCCTTCACGTCTTCCATATTTGTTAATGAATGTTTGTCCAGTACTCTCAGGTTTTTCGGTGGCGCTCTAACTGAAGTCAGCTCATGATGAATAATCCTCCATCCAATCAAACTAAATCCCTACAAAACCAATAGTTGATGAGAATTTACCGAAAATACGTATTTGCTTGCTTAAATCATGTTCTATAATTATCTTGATAGGAATATTTTAAATTATTAGTTAGCCAACAACCGGAAGGTTCAAGACACCAGTGGACTAAAATACTGTCGCCTTCATGATTAATCTTCATTACATTGATTTTCTCTTGTTTTTATATTAACTTTCAAGGATTTACCAGAATTCTTTGAAGATAACATGCAAGATTGGATGTCATTTTTCCGTAGCCTCTTACAACTGAATTCATCAAGTCTTAATTTAACAACTAGTGGTGATGCCGGGGGAGAAACCAATGGAATTGTTTTAGTTGAACAAATTAAATCTCAAGTTTGTGATAATGCCAGCTTGTATGCATCTAAGTATGAACCAGAGTTTGCTACCTATCTGCCTGGATTTGTTACTGATGTCTGGGAAATGCTGTTGGGCACTGGTGCACAAACAAAATATGACTTGGTAGGTTCTGCGTTTTGTTTTGTTTTAGTGTTTTTTGTTTGTTCCTGGTTATTGGGTTATATAGTTATGCTAGTAATTATATATTACTAAACAACAACTACTTGCAACTTTGCGCACACTTAGTTGGCAATGAGCCAAATCTGTTGTGTATGTGAAGTTAGCTCTCTTCGACCACAAATGTTTGCTCTCTCTATCTTTCGTGTTGATGAATAGTCCAATATGGTGAGTGATATTGAAGTTAGGCTTCGTGTGCTTTTGGAAGTGTGTGTGTGTGTGTGGGTGGTTGTTACTTCCCGGCTGCCCACACCACTGTAGAAGTTGCTTGATTCTTTGAGTACCTGAAACAGAGAGAGAGAGGGTTAGTGTTGCGTGACCGCAGAGCAGAACCCAGGGGATAACTGCTTGAGGCCAGCCAGCCAGTCACACACGGCCTGTATGAACTGGTTTCTTGGTGGTTTGGTCCCGTATTAGTAAACTTACCGCCGGTTACGGACCACCGTAGGTTGGGTAAGTCCGGGGGTGTACAATTTTTGGGGTCGACCTTTTCTAACCCCTCAACCTCTCCAGAGTGAAGAGACAGCATAGCTGGCTAGCATGCTGGTCATCTGAGGGAAACACCTCACTGCTGTTACATCCCTGCTCCCCAGCGTAGTGTAAAACAAAAAATTCTTACACTATGCCGGTAACTGCTTTTAGTCTAATCGTTATCCTTACAACCTTCCTGGCATGGTAGATAGGACCTGTAGGAACATTGGTTCCAGCCAGTGTAGCTTGTTGGGTCATCGTGATGTGCAAGCCCGACCACCACGCCAAGGTAGAAGCTATCGGTTGGGATTGAAGTTAGGCGTAGAGACTATTAGGTAAGGACGGTAAGTTAGTCGATGAAGTTGTGGAGGGGTGAATCGATTGAGATGACTAGGACATGTGTCGCGCATACCAAGCCATCGCCTTCTTCGACTGGTTAGCGTTACCCGACGTAGGATTTGGTTGGGAAAGAGTCAGGGGATGGGATGGTCAGATTAAAACCGTGCATCAGTTCACGAAGTCTTTGACAGTTGGTTTGAGTCAGCCACGTAGGATAGGGTCTCCGAGATGCTGACGACTAATGGTTAGAAACATTTTCGTGGTATGGTTTAAAATCGTTCTCAATCTCCCTGATGCATTTACTTTTTGTGACCTCTCTTACATTCAAGCTTATATTATAGTCCTCTGAATCTGTTTTTTCCTCTCTTTTGTCTGTCTTTGAGTGTGTGCCGTATGAATTGCAGCAAATTGAACTGCTGCACTTCTATGCAATGCTGTATGCTGAAACGTAGTCAATGTGTGTGTATATGTATGTGTGGATTTTTGTGACACCGTGCTGTTTTTTTACATTATAATTCGGTAGTTATTGGCTTGTGCCTCGGGGATTCAGTGGCAAGATAGTCTCTAACCACACCACCAGCGGTCCAAGGGTTGATCCACCGGCTGACACTCTCCTGAACGCTAGCTTAACCGGTGGTAAACCTCACGCCCAGTGAGGCTAGTAACCCCCTCCACTCCCCTGGAAAGATAAACACCGTTGCTACTGAAATCTTGAGATTCAAGCTTGAAGACCTGTGATGTAGTCAGGATTCAAAGGATTAAGAAAAGTGTTTACCGCGTATCGTAGATTAAAATCCTTGTCTTCTAAGTATATTTTCTAACAACATTCTGTGAAACCGAGCAAATAAAAATTTCAACTGCAGTCGAAAAGATAATCTTTTTTTATGAACGTGTTCTTGGGGTTTACGGTTGTATGTTCATATATACACGTTCTCATAGATGGTGATGTGTGTGTGCGTGTGTGTGGTACATTGACTTTTAGACAATTCGTCGTCCCAGATTCGAATCTCGTTCTACCTATTTCAGTCTGAGCAAGTAACTAGGTAAAATCACCAACCGCTCCCCCACTCCTCCTACACATACACATTGAGTGTGGTACACAGCCAGACTGCATGCGTATATTAAGTTACTTGTAGAGTTATAATATCAGAGTGTCTCATAACAACAGCACAGTGTGTTATGTTTATAAAAAACATGCTATGGTTCCAGGAGCAGGTTTTCAATTCATTCTAAATGTCGCAGTTCACAAACTTAATCACCGTTAATGTGTAGACGCACAAAACACTAGTTAATGTTGTAAGATTTTGATGTGGTTGTGTTCTTTGAGCTGAACAGTTAATTTGCCAAGCTTTCATCGCCCTACTAGGCGACATTTTCAGAAGCTTGGCATTCCAGTGAATCATCAATCCATAGACACATCGAGATAAACAGAATTTATCAACCGATAAGAAAGAAACCTCACACATACAAAGGGTCAAAGTTCAACTTAAAGAAACAATCAGTTACAATACAAGTAGCTGCCTAGAAGGTGTGGAAACACACAATAACAACCAATCACGTCTAAGGTCACCCCACCGGGAGAGATGATTAATAAACTCGTGGAGAAATCTAAAAGCTCACTTCAATTCAAATTGAAGTATACGGTGAAGGAAGGTGTCGCCTAGTAGTAGTGGGCGATGAAAACTTCGCAAATTAACTATCCAACCAGCTCAGAGAACACAACCACATCAAAATCATCCACCGATCTAGAAATCTTCTTTATCATATCTAATGTTGTAAGACCTTATTACCTTCAGTGTAACTCATACACCACATAACCCACCACGGTATTATTTGTCATAGTTTATCAATGTTCTATGTTGTTGGTTTGTTTCTCTTCAAATTTCTATTATTTATTCTAGCTTATTGGTAATGCAATCAATTTCCTGAGCTCTGTCATATCACGTCCACAACATAGATATCTTTTTGAGAATCCAGAAACACTACAAAAACTTTGTGAAAAAGTCATTCTACCAAATATGCATTTTAGAGGTGAGTCGTCGGAACCCCCCTCCCCCTCTCGCGAGGAGTGGTTGTTTAGATATTTTTTGTCTACTTGATTTTATGCTTTATGTCTCAAAATTTTTTACCTTTGTACCCGTAAGACAACGAGCCCTCATTACCTAACGCAGTTATGGGGCCACGTTGTATTGCAAAACTTGACTGTTGTAGAATCCAAACTAAGGACTAGACGCATGACCTAATGTCCAATCAAAGCACCCATTGCAGTCCTACAGGAGGTCAATTGTGAGCTCAGTGGTGGTAAGGTTTTTGACTGCAGCACTTGGTGAACATGGGTTTGAATCTCAGATGTGGAACGAACGTGTGAGTGTTCCTTCAAGCTTGCAGATGATATTTCTTGCTGGCTGACTGACTGACTGACTGATGAGTGGCCAACAGGCACCAAACCTATGGTCAGTCAGGCAAGGTTTCCTGTCGATTATCTCCAAACCATCTATTGTAATGTCCTCTTTGACGGTATAATGTAGTTGAGAGCAAATTAAGCATGCATAAATGTCTATATATGCACTATTCTCTTTAAATTAGTTCCTCATATAACACACTCCATGCTGATGAAAATTAACACATCAAAATTATAACAGACAAATGGTTGATGTGTATGTGTGTGTTACTGAATAAGAATTGTCAGTTTCACGGTATGGGAGGAGTGACAGTAATTATAGAAGTGAAGATTATCATTCGCTCCTTGGGTTCCGAGTGGAACATAGAGAGAGAGAGAGAGAGGGAGGGAGAGAGAGAGAGGACTTCAACAGCACATCCTCCATTCCACTTATTTCCCTGCCATCAGTTTCAACTGGACCCATGACTGCCTTCCAAAAGCATTTTCTCATTTCTGCTTCATCTATATCATATGGATCTTCTTCAGTATTACCCTCCGACGACCACCACTACCAAGCCTTCGCTACCCATTCTCAAGATCCACTCTGGGAGTTTGACTGGCACGTCCCACGTCAGTCAACCGTCTCTTCTACATATGTCCAGTTGATCCCCAATTCCTTCTGCATACTTGTTAGGCAAGCAGACAATGCGTGGCATTTGGCTATGGTTTACTGTCCGTTAGAGCTCCCATTTGTTGCTTATCCTTCTTGGCAGGTTACTTGATCTTCAGTGTCAAAGGAAATTGGCAAGTCGTGACCAGTAGGGTACAGCAGGTCGGGTGTGAGGACAAATACTGGCCGAAGACATTGGCTAGCGGTTGCGCTATATTATGAATTGGCAGAAGTTAGAATTCATGAGCCATTGGATCGGGTCCCAGTGGCTTAATGGTATACGAGCTCGCCTTGTAACCATAAGGTCTTGGGTTCGAACCCCGGTAGGTGCGTACTGATGAAGAGTTCCAAATTAGGACGAAACAACTGTCTAGTACCCCCAGGTTTTCCAATGGTTCTCTAACCAATGTTAGCTCATGATGAAATCCTGAAAGTGGCAAGTGTTGATAAAAGTCTACAGCACGCTATTGGAAATGCCTTTAGTAACGTACCAAGTAAAGTTGAAGGATGAAATCGTGTAATTTAACTATACAGTTGATTTGTAGAATTTACCTTTTGGTTATTACTGTCTGTCTGTCTGTTTTCGACATAGAACTTTGCACAAATGTGCGGAAGTTCAAGTCGCCACATTCCGTGTAGCACGCGAAGCAAGAGAAGAAAGTACAAGAAAAGCATAATAGAAACAGTGAGCAGAGGTGTGAGACAAAGGAGTAATAATTGGTTATTGCACAATCGATAATTTGTAATGATCATAACAATTTAAAAGTATGAGGGAATGAAGTTCTTATTTATTACGCAAGAGAAATTAAATACGAAATAGGTTGGTGGCTCAGTGTTAAGATGGCTCGCCGAGCACGCCACCAGTGTGATCCGGGTTTGATTCTCGGTCGATTCACCCTGAACCTCACCAGTAAAGATAGAGAGAGGCAGTTGGGCGTGGGATTAGCAACCCCACCACCAACGGGAACTTCCAAACCACGTCCTACTGGGGACGCTGAGAAAATGGAAAAGGTCAAGCAATACCAATGAAATAACTAGGATATAATACTAGTAATATCAGTAGATAGTTAGAAAGATAAGGGGCAAACGCCATTTGTAATATTCAGTACATGTTATGTAGATGCATACAGCAAGGCAATGAGTTGTATAATTTCCTTTTGAGCACAGGGTTAGATCATTTAGAATGGATTCCAATCGCCTTCGCTCTCTCTATTCAGTAGTTTGAACGGTTGAAGCATGGAGAAAGGTTAAATGAAATGTGAAAAATTACTTCGAAAGCTGCGTTCGCCTCGACTTTGTTTTCTTGTATAAACGTGAGGTTAACTAGTTTAAAGCTGTGTATCGCTTTAGTTGGCTGTTCGCCTAACCATCAGAAGTGGTATACAGAAATTGAACGAGAGATTCTCCTAATCGCACATTCAGTGTAATATGAGGAGAATAGCACAGTTGAGGTACTCTCTGCTCATGGAAGACTGCAAACAGTAGGGTAACTTGGCTTTCACAAGACCTAGCATGATATCAGATATCCCTATCTATATGACATAACTGGTACAAAACTTCGAGAAACGATTATTCCAGCAAACATGCTTCTCAAGATCGTTCATCTCAATGTGTGCACCATTGACTGCGATTTTCGGTCCTGTGTAATAACGTATTGAGCCACCAATTTAAATTATCTCTCCGACCCCAACCAGGGAGTCGTAACTTCCCGACAGACGCTGGTCTAGTACAAATATCTTTTATCCCACAGTTCCAGGGCATAGGTTGATCACCTTTCCACTTTTTTCACTCAGTCTCAGTGCTAGAGAATGGGAGCATCTGGGGTGACATTCGTATCTCGAGATGACTAAATTTAACAGAAGGTGACCTTCAGTGTGTTCAAACACACGCTGACGGACATCAGAATTACACTTACACTGATGTTGTTATCGGATGCAAGCAGTCCACGGAGGCCGCGATGGTCGAATATGCAGCGTCATCATCTGAGCCCGCAGAGGGCAGCTTTCAATGGTGCAAAGCACAACTGCACGAACCGAGACATTGTGAACCTAACTTTTGTCAGCCAGACTGACAGTGCTAGAGGTAGCTCGAAAAGACGTATGTCGTCCCAACCCCCACTATCCGGGCTAGGGTCTGTACGTCATACTGCCGCCAGCACTCACACAACTACCTAGATATACACGAACTTGTCGGCAACTTCAGGCAGTTCATCTGCAAGGGGTTAGACAGCGCAAAGCACACACTACACTTATAGGCACCTAAAAGTAGTTTGACTTCAGCTGCACAGGACTGACGTTTTATGTACCAGACTGTTGACATCCGTCACACTTATTGTTTGAGGACTGATAATACTACCCAGTTGCTGAGGATGAGCGAAATTCGATTCGGAGACCACTCATTCATCGAATGCTTGGGCCAATGAACTACATCCCCTAAATATATATCTCATATAATTTTATTCATGTCTATTCATGTCTTATCCACTTCCTTATTTGTCTTGTTTTAATTACAGCTTTAGACGAAGAGTTATTCACTTATAGTCCTGATGAATATATACGCCTGGATTTAGAAGGATCAAATGCACAAACCCGTCGAAGAGCAGCCTGTAATCTTGTACATGTTCTGTGTGAAGCATTTGAAGGTCCTGTTGTGACTAATTTTTCAACGTATATTGAACACCTGTTAAACGAGTATGCTAATACCCCGAGTGGTGGGGCATGGACATCGAAAGATGCTGCTTTACTGCTGGTTACAACAGTGGCAAGTCGTGGAAAAACAGAAAAGGTAACTGTTATTAACTTTATCATAAGTAAGATTAGCACCCTTTTTAAAATTAATTATTATTCGGTTGGATGTCGCAAAGTTGTAGTGAAAAGTCGCGGTCACTGGGGGCCATCTTGTCAAGGTGAGTTGGAGTGCTCATTGACGACATACTGCGAATTGATAGAAGAAATTAGAATTCATATGTCAGCGAATTCCCCTCGCCCAGTTGCTGAATGGTCAGCTAAACTGGCCGCGTAACCTAAAGGTCTCCTTTCCCACCTATCCCCGTGTCGTTGTGGGTGCGCACTGATGAAGTGTCCAGGAGACTAGAAAGCAACAGTTGTCCAGTGCTGTCTGGTTTTCAGTAATACTCTATCTGATTTTGTTTTCTTGACGAGGCGGGGGATTTCTTTTAAGTCAACGTCTCCTCCACGAAATGCTCACTTTCTCTTGATTTAGTGCCAGGCATCAGAGAAAAACGTAATTCACTTGCTTAGATGTGATGCGGTTTCATGCACATTATTCTATCAATTGATGCGTGTATGATCACATAAAACAAGTTGGCTTGCAAGTAGTAGTTGGTGTTGTAGATAAGAAATTCTCACACCAGGAGAAATCTAGGCTCATCGGCGTTAATCCCTAAACTCAATGGGCTCCGGTCTTGAATGCCGCTAACCTACTTCAACCCTGTAACAACACATCAAGTACCGTCTATAGTCTGGTGCCGACTGTCTTTCAATAAATGCTGTTATCTTGGAACACCAGCTGTGTTGGCTTGCACATGTCTCGGCAAATGTTATCCCCGTGGCGTCTATACTGTTCACTGTTTGCTAGCCCTGAGGTTGGGTAGAAATTGAAGGGATGATTGGCTCATGATGAGGTGCTCTCAGATGAGATAAGGTAGTTGTTTTAGGTTAACATCTGTTGGTGCATTACAGCTCTCTGAGTGAGGTCCATGAGATAATCCTAATCTGTAGCTTGAGATTCCATCAAGAATTGAAACCAGTGGTGAACATGTTGCCATTCCCATGTATCCTCTCTATCTGATAGTAACATGCAGGAGTGATGTGTGCTGTTCACATATTCTTGGTTAGTATGCTTAAATATGTTCCTATTGATCCTGTTCCTCAGTTATTCTGTTTCTTCCCCGTGTGTTGTAATTCACTGTTTTTTTTTTGTGTGTGTGTGTGTGTACGTGGTGCATCTCTTGTTCATACAAAAGACGGTCGTAGCCAAAACGAAACCATTAACCTAGGCTGTACATTGGTGAAAATATAGCAATGAGGTGAGAAGGTGGTACCTCCGGTCAGAGGTTAAAATATAAAACGAGTAATAGACGAAGTTCGGGTAAAAAAAACGCGGTCAGTTAATAATGATTTTCCGGTGAAAATCTCTTGTTGCACATATTGTACCAAGTTTGCATTTGAATAATTTAATAAATAACCTGTGGTGTACAGGAATTCCATATCGGAGGTCATGAACCTGCATAGGTATATATAACTTATTGTTCCTCCCTTAGGTTCCCAGTAGAACATAGGGCTTCAACACCACGTCTCTAATTTCATCCCATCCTCTGTAGTCCTCTTTAGCTAGCTGGCGGATCTACGGTTGACCATAAGTTCCCATCTCCTTCCTACCCAATCTCCATTATCTCACCCTCAGATGAACACCCAACTCGCTCAGAATTTCTTGTTGTTCATCCTTTCTAACCGACGATTTGGTCTTCGAATAAAGCAAGAATAACACATTTTGCAGAATAAAATGGTGCCATCATTGTTTATTTCGTTGGCTTCTCATCAGCTGCTTACAGGCCAAAGTCATTATTAAGTATATCTACAGAAACAATTCCAACATACTTACACAGAGTTCATTTTTAAGCAGAAATCAATCAGTATATACATGCGGTAATAATATATATAATATTAAACACTTCCGAATAATAATGATCCGACACAATGGAAACTTTCAGCATTACGTAATCAGATGAAAGAGATGGCGAAAATATCCAGTTACCAGTCAGGGCAAGGAAAGACTGACAACTGCCTCTTTCTGAACGCATAAATTAGGTTTCAGGCGGTTGATAGAGATGGCTTCGGCAAACTTAAGGATAATTTTGAAAGATCTTGTGATGTCCACCTCGTGACCCATGTCAAGGAGATGCCTAGCGATGGCACTGTTGAAAGCATTTCTTCTCTTGAGACGTAGGCTTTTTGGTGCATGTCCAGAAAATCGTAGATATGTCCTTATTTCTGTCCTTTCAATGTAACTGCTCCTGCAGATACGTGTAAATTTATGTACACAGTTGGAGTTTTCAATATCAAGCGCCGGGAGGGGGGCGGGGCAGGTGTTGACTGAAGTCTTTAGTAGTCTGTTGGAAAAACGTTTTGACAATACCTGCACCCGAAGTGTTTAAATCATACAGAAACACTGACTGACTTGATATTTTTGTGCATATGATTGCGTAATATACCCCATGTAACTTTTATTAAGGGTGTAGACATTGATGTTCTTCACATTCCGAAATCAATGATTAAAACAACTTCCTAGTCTCACGTAGCATTTTTATATATAAAGCCGCTAATATTTGTATATCTTAATATGAGAGTATAGTAGTAACCGACTTATAAAATTAACTCTGTTTTCCCCCTATTATTGATTTTATTCAGCATGGTGTTACAATTTCTACGGGATTAGTTAATTTGACAACATTTTTTGAAAATCATGTCCTGCCTGAATTACAAAATCCTGATGGTAAGTTATTTGTTGGTGTGGTTGTTATTCTTGTTCTGAGTTTACTCTTTAAGAATTCCTCTTTTCCCCTCCCACATTTGTTGCACCCTGCGTGAATGTTGAGGACCGTTTGGATGTGAAATGCTTTTGTTTCACCTACATGGTGGATATATTATCCCGAAATAATTTATATATATAGCATATTCTAAAGTTATTCTAGGCGTTCGCTTTTCAGTCACTAAGCTTAGCGGTCTTGAGTTCGATTCCTGTCAGGGTTATGGGTACGTACTGTTGAAGAGTCCTGAACTAGGATGAAACAGTTATCCGGTACTCCCTGGTGTTTGGGTCCTCCTGAATGAATGGTCTACAATCCTTCCTTGTAACCGGAAGACCCTGGGTTTTTGAACCTCAGTGGGCGTGTACTGATAAAGAGTACCAAAGACTAGTCGCATCTCTATTTATTTACTCAAGGTGAAGAACTTAGTGTTGATTAATGAGTTTCCTATTTTTGCATCACCTTTCTTTTCCCTTCTCCTTTTAGTTAACTACTTGCCTGTAATTAAAGCTGATTGTCTACGTTATGCAATCGCTTTCCGATCTCTACTCCCGCCAATGGCTTTAGTCAACCTGTTAAATATGACGCCTAACTTAGTGATGGCTGCAGCGACGGTTGTACAAAGTTATGTGGCAGCTGTAATTGATAAACTACTCGCTATGCGACGACCAGATTCACCAGCAGAACCTTTGTAAGTATACTGTCATTTTCAACGTGTATTTCGTTTTTATTAACTCTCTTTAATGCTTTTTTTTATCATCATCTGTATGTATTATTGAAGTAAATTGGTGAATGGTGACTAGGAGTTGGTGCATGGATTCATATTTCGTTCTATTTGAGACTCGTCATCTGGATGCACCTGGTAGGCAGTGGTGTTCTTACTGAGACTTGAACGTAGCTGCCATCATTCCAAACGTCACAAAGTCTTATCTGCTAGAGTACTTGGACGACGGTTATCAGTCATGATCTGTTTAAGTGAATTTCTGATTTTTCCGCCACTTTCCATCAGATTATTATTATTATTATTATTATTGTTCCCTTGGGTTCCTAGTATGTCATAGGGCTTCAACTGCACGTCTCTACTTACTTCTTGTCTTGCTTCTGCTGTACTTTTCACCTGGATCCATGTTAGTTAGTCCATACTGTTTCAACTCCTCTTCACACGATCTCCATGTCACCCACCCTTGCACTGACGTCTCACTCGCCTCTTCCCTTTCGGGTTCCATTTGAGGGCCTGACGCGCGATATCACCTAGCGGCCTCCTCAGGGAATGTCCACTCCATCTCCACTTTCTCCTGCATGTTTGTTGGTTGGCGATTGGTTCTTGTTTTGTTTGTTTGCTCCCATAGTTTGTGATTCTCTCCGGCCCGGCGGACTGATTGATCTTCAGTATAGATCTGGCGAAGACAGTTGTTGGTTGATAAAGGTCTGCAACAGGCTGTTGGAAATATCCTTTGTGACCCTCCCGCCAAGTTTCTGATCCGATCCGTATAGAAGAGCTGACTGACTTGACGTCGTTTGTATTGAGTTGAATCCGACGGAATTGTGTTGTTGATTCTGGCTGAGTGACGAAGATTTCCAGATTGGTTTCAGGTTGATGAGTGTGTTTCTCGCCCTCCACCAGATTCTCGGTTTGACATCGTCGTCCGTTCCCCCTGTAGTTGAGACAATGCTGACTACCTAGTTAAGTGAATGAAGTAACCTGTTTCAAATCCCTCCTGTTGATGTTGATGTTGTTGCTGCTGTTGTTCCATCAGTTAACTTCAAGCTAATTCTCAGATACTGCCGAAGCATCCGTTCTAGGCGGGCTGGTGTGTCAACAGAACACGCGAACATTTTGATCCAATCAATCAGAGGTGGCCGGGGGGGGCAGTTGAAATCACAAATTCACTTAAACAAACATACATTAATTATTAAGAAGTTAAACCGATTAGCTCTCTATTCAAGATAAGTAGACGCCCAGTTGTGTGAATCATTTAGTGTGCTGATGACGCAACGCATTTCGGGCAATCTGATCATGCATATGTACTAAACAAGATGCTCTAATAATTCAGTCACCCTTAATAAAAAAAAGTTTATATAACTTCATAACGTTTCATTGAGGATTCACAACAGAGGCACAATGTAGGACATACCATGGAGTCAAGCTCCTTATTCATAGAGAAACAGGAATTTACTCTTTTCCTGTAAAACCCCTCACTGCATTTGAATGATTATTACCACACTCGTATTATGTATACGAATTCACACATGCATTCGTGGTTATACATGCACATAGAAAGGATTCAAAGGCTGTACAAAGTTTGAACTACGCAGAGCACATTCCAGAATGGCTGCAAAAGTAAATCAAATCAAATCGTGAAAAATACTCATCAGAGTATTAGAGAGAGGTAAAAGCAAGACACTTGGCGATTTCATCCTCGAAAGCAGAGCTGTACAATCATATTTTTATACATAATTTTATGTTGTTACGGCTATTATTATTCAATTAGACAGAAAGAACTAGACCCATGGTGTATGTAGGACTTGGACTGGTTTCTTTTGACGACTTCTGTCGTACTGCCTTTGGCAGATTTTCGTTTACTTTGTAAATGACTATTTGACAAGTCTGTTGAAATGCTGTGCCAAGTGCTTGACAAACTTCTTGTGTGTTGATGGCACAGCGGTTCGGACGCTCGCCGACCATGCACATATAGTCCGGGGTTCGATCCCTGGCTGACACACACACACCTGCTAAATTTGCGCTACCGATATCACATGCTGAAAATTCCATACCTGTACCGAAATACTGTGTAGAATCAATCTATAATAAAAAATCTAAAAATATTAGTGTTCGGATGCTTCTGATTGAACCAGTGCCTTCGTCTCATTGCAACTGTGCCCGGGTATTGTGCATTTATTTTCTAATCGTATATGATTGTGTTTCTATGCCCCTTGTGATCTATATAATCACACCTGGAAGCTTTCATATCAAGTTGAAAATCTCCTCTAATAATAATAGTTATTGTAACTATTTAGAATTTTGTATGAAAATGTGATTATTGTACAATCGCCTTTGACAATGAAATTCTCGAGCTCCTTTTTCTTGTCTCCCTCTAAATGAAGTCATCCGATGTCATCTGTGTTGCAAGGTATAATATCATAAGTGGTTTTTCATAAACCTGATTTTAACACTTCTTTCAAAATCCATTTCTAAAACGTGTGTTTTGGTCACACACACACACACATTTAGTTTTCTTTCTGAAGCGTTAGATATCAAAAGGCTTAAATCGATTTTTTTCATGTGTTTAGAAATTCTTTGTTGTCATGTGAAACCCCCCTCTGTGTCCGTCTTAGTAATCCAATTCTAAAATCAAGGGTTATTTATTTGTCAGTGTTTTGACCCTTGCATTGATTGAATTTTAACCTTTTTATACGCTATTAACCTTTATACTTAATTGCATGTATGATAGAGGATGTGTGCAATCCGTGTTGTGCAAATACACTACACAGCACGGATAAATAACATCTTACTATTAGGAATTATAGTAAAAAATTAGGTGTGTGTGTGTGTGTGGGGGGGTGTATTCGTCAATATAGGCCACTTCTAGTCCCCTCGGGATGTGTCTGCTCAGGGTTACAATGCTTCTGTGCGCGCAGTTTCGCCGAACGCCTATGAAACCTGGCCTCTCTAAATTGTGGATGTGCTACGAGCCTATGTGTTCTATCATCATGGCCTCCGTAGAGTTCCTTGCGTTCGATGGCATAATCGTGTAAGTAGTTCTGAGCTCCCTCAGTGTGTATTTCAACACGGTGTGGACGTGACCAGTGATTGGACGTATTCATCTTGAAACACCAGCTTCGATGTTGTTATTAAAATGCTGATTTCGTTCTATTTGGAATTCGTCTTCCGAATGTACCTGCATTCTGCAGTGAGTGCTGACGTTCCCACAGGCTCAAACCCAGTGCCCATAGTTTCAAACGCCAAATCGCGTGATCCACTAGACCACTTGGGCCACAGAAGAGGCCCCATCACCTCTTGTATAACGGGTCATATTTAATTATTTAATTCATTTTTTAGATTTTTCCCATCGATTGATTCGACCGAAATTGAACGAATTGCGCGTTATCCTGGATATTTCACTGCTAGTCATCACCATCCACCAATCAGCTTCTAATTACACATGCCCCAAATATCGTCGAAGCATCTGCACAAGAAGACGATAGACATGTCAACCTGAGATCCCGAGCACTTCAGTGCAATCAATCGACGGGAAAATTTAAAATTAAATTATATAAACGTTGTTTGGAATAAAGTTATTATTATTACTTAATCCTTCATCGAGAATTCCAAAATAAACTCATTTCACACACTATGTACGATGAACGCTGAATCGGTTGTCTAGGAAGACAATGATACTTTCGTAATTGACAAACTACTCTCAGCGTAAATAAGCCAACCACAGCTTTCAAAGTATTCATATACACATGCTTTAGATTACTAATTTTTAAAATCCATAATTTCTAAATACTGTAGATTATAACAAGTGCTGTTTGTTTCTCAATTGTTTCTATTTGTATAGAATATTGAAAGAACAAGTGGCAGATCCTCAGTTATTGATTGACCGATTATTAGCTATACTCAATAATCCAGAGTATTGTGAAAGTGTTTATGTGATGCGAGGTAGGTAACTCGGCTTTTTTGTGTTTTTTGTTTTCCATTTTATTTTCACATTTCATAATCAGATTTTAAACAAAGTGTTCCATATTAGGTTGTTTATTAGATGTATCACACACAGTGATGGAAACAGTATTATTTACTGGATGACAAAGTTTCGAACACAATTTATTTATTGTTCATAAGCATACCATCAATTGTAATCACATGACTTTGAAACTTGAGTTTTATAGTTTTCTTTGTCTTCTCCTATTTGTCGTAGGGGTAGTAGAATATTCCAGATGTCCGGCTGGACAGGTGTTGAATCATTTCTATTACACGTGTTGGTTTGCAGTTGATTCGATAAACAAAGCTTCCATTATCAATCTACCCCTCCACCCTGTGACATTAGATTTTAGAACTGTCATCCTATCCCATCCCATTGTATGGTTGTGTGTAACTGCATGTAGTCAGTGGTATAGCTGAACTATTCTCTAGATTTCTTATCTTATTAGGGTCAGCCAATCTGGATTTTTCTAGGGTTTTATGCTAGGCTAGTATGACTGCCCTTGCTCTTCTAGTTTGACCTGAAAATCATTGCAGGCAGGGTATTAGATAAACTAAATTGTTTTGTTTTGAAGGCTCCACGGGATCCCTTAACCGACAAAGCTTGTTTCTGATTGAGTATATGGGTTTGAATGACACTTTTATTCCTGCTTTGCTAAGAATTCTGCGTGAGGTTTCCGAGGTTCCTTCCTTGTATGGAATTACTACTGATGATTTAGATTCCTTATTGTTGGTGTTGTCTTGGGTGGGGGTGAACGTTTCAGTCGCTATGTTTTCCCACCTATCCATGAATATATCTGCTACAACCGGGGATATTGGTGATCCCATGTCAACTACCTTAGTTTGTTTGTATATTTTCCCTTGGAATTTAAATACTGTGGAAGTCAGGCATAACTGCACACACAGCATTATGTCCTCAAGTTGCACTTTCGTCCTAAGTTCGAGTTCTTGGTCAGAAATGAGTTCGTTTCTGACTGCCTCTATAGCCATATTTATTGGTAAACGTGTATATAAACTGACAATGACAAAACTAACCATTTTTGTTTCATTATCTAATTTTAAATTATCTAATGTGTGTTTTAGTTCATAAGAATTAGTTAGTCTAGATTTCGAGTGGCCTCTTTAGGGAATGATTGATAACAGAAGCTTTGTGTACGAATCAACTGCGAACCAACACGTGTAATAGGAATGATTCAACACCTGTCCCAGATATCTGGAAAATTCTGCTACCCCTACGAAAAATAGGAGAAGACAAAGAAAACTATAAAACTCAAGTTTCAAAGTCGTGTGATTACAATTGATGATATGATTAGGAACAATAAATAAATTGTGTTCGAAACTTTGTCATCCAGTAAATAATACTGTTTCAATCACTGTGTGATACATCTAATAAACAAACTAATATGGAATTATTTACTACCACAGTTCCCAAGTTGTACACATATATTAATAAACAAAGTGTGTTTTTATTGACCCTATAGAAATATGTTTACTTGCTGCTAGTCTCTGAAGTATCAGGATTTCATGATAAAAAGAAACTTAAGCGCAACGGTTTACTCTTTACTTGATGTCATGTCGGTCACCCTTGTCATGCCTGTAGCAGGCAGGCATCATGTATGTGTAATTTTCATGTCCAAATACATATCTTCAATCATGCTGTGCGCTCTAACTTTGATGATTGCAGCACCTGTTGAATAGATATCATCTCAGTAGTTTCCCTGTTGCATTTGACGTTTCGTCAATAATAAGGTGCGCTGAGAACTCAGCTCAGTGAGACGAAATGTTTTATGTGTATATGTGTGCATGCTTAGCATCTATTGATGCACCAAAGACCCATTAGATGATGCAACCTCTTTGGTGGTCACATTCGGGAGAAAGTCAAAATCGGTACACTGAATTCTGTTATTTACGTTATGAGCAACAAGAGATGTGCTGCACAAAATGTAGTAGTTTTTGCGAGGGCTTGGAGATACTGACTACTTGTAACGCGCAGACCGAAGCAAGTGGTTGTCTTATGGGGTGAACATGTCCACAAGCTAAGGTAGTGGGGCAGCCGTGGTTTTTGTTCAATAAAACAGGTTCCTATGCCATTTGATGATAGTTTCAGATTATGGGGATCATGTACTACGCAGCATAAGTCTAAGATTAGGTTTCCCACCCCCCAGCTGTCTACTAGTTAGACTAACATTTTCACTAGTCGTTCGCATTCTCTCCTTCACTTTTGTGTGGATCACTTCCACCACTTGTAGAGGTGGAACTGATGATAAATAGGACTTACCTGACTGACAAGCTTTGAAGGTGCGTGGCCAAATAAAAAAGAAAACCAAAGTCTCAGGCCACCCTTGTACGTATCGTACCAGGTTGTTGATGGGGTAAAAGAAAGATACTGTTGTTGAATTAGAAGTTATTTTCTAATTCATAACTTTTTAAGTCCTGTAAGGATTTTCATCCACTCTGCATTGACGAATTGACAGGAAGCTGGAATTCCCGGATCACTGAATTTCAACACAATAGATAAATAAAATGGTCAGTGGGCGTACCTTTTCAACTTGAAGATCCTAATTGCAACCCCTAGTGGAGCCATGATGCATGTATGATATCCAGTATTGTATAATTTTCAATAATTCTACAGAATTTCGATCAGTTTTTGACCAAATGCATTGGAACACCGCATCATTCAACAGAAATATCGATCTTCATAGTCTACTACGTATATATTTTTTAATATTGTATACACTTTGTTAACCCAGTAAGCTAACACCTTCATTCTTCACTAGATAAATCACAAATTTTGGTTATTTTTCTCAATTCATCCCTAATTATTATTTGAATGTTGTTTGTTTTTTATTAAGCTCTAATGAGAGTCTGTTGTTGCCTACAAGAACGTTGTCTCCCATCAATGAACAATCTTGTCTCTACACTATTGGCTCGTCTTACTCAGGTTACAAAGGTTAGTTAGTTGTTGTTGTATATCAAATATACATATACGTGTTTTCGATTTATTTAAAGCTTCATGTGTGTTCATATGTCTGTATTTATAATACGTTGACAATTTTTGTGCATGCTCCTAGTTTTGAGACTGTCGTTTTTTTTGTACTGCTATGTTATACCACTGTAACAAAAGAAGACAAGGGCCAGGCAACAGATCGTTTATTAGGGAAATCAACACGTATTTATATATTTTCATGTTTATTTATTATAGCTTATTGAAGGCCAACAAACACGGTCTTCTGATTGGTTGTTTCTCCAGAAAGTTAACCTTGCATCTCTTTGTGACTGTTTCTTGAATGTCAGATCATCTATATGTTAACTGTATCCGCCTACGCAAACAAAAGTCTTCTGTGGTTGGTTGTTGAATCGGTCTTTGTTCATATTTTCTCACGATCAATATTTGGGACACAACCATTGACGTAAATTAATGTCTACCAACTTTGGCTAGCAGCCTGTTCTCACCACACCACCACCTAAGAATTATATTTCCAGTAATTTAAATATCCTTAAAATGTATGTATGTATAGAGCATGAATAATTGATGAGGCTGAGAACTCCGTGTTACAGAGACTGTTTGATTTTACATCTTCAGCGGCCTGCATTTTGTTGTCTTTACAACCGGCAGGTAATGTTGTCTGGATATACTTTGGCCAAGGTTATCAATACTTTGTCTAAAGAAATAATATTTGAGTAAAGCGTTACACTACTTCAGAAAGCTTGGATTATGAAAAATAAAACGGAGAGAAGGAATTATAAGTGCTAAGAAAACTAAATATTCCATTAATTTTCATTGACTGCTCAGCAGTCCGCTCCGTCCTCCTTTATGGCTGTGAGACACGTGACCATTCAAAGTGTTAGACATGAAGAGGTCGTTTAGTTGTCTTTGATCATAGGTGTCTGCGTTCTATCTCCCATGTATGTTAGGTGGTATAATAAGGTTAGCAACATTGAGGTTAGGCGTCAAGTGCTGGTAAGTAGGTAGGAGGGAAAATCAGTAGACGAGGCTGTGAAGGCACATCGACTGAGAGATGGTTAGAACATGTGTTATGCACGCTTGCTTAGCCATCGATCGCCTTTCTCGACGATAGGCAATGTTAGCTGACATAGGGTCAGGTTGGCAGAGAGCTATTGGTGGTGGTGGTGGTGGTCAAACCAAAGCATGGCTTCATCAGTCAATGAAATCCGCAACTGTTAGTTTAAGCTGGCCAGCCAGTCAGCCTAATACGCAGGGGGTGTAGACTTCGTGACTGACGGGTTGGGCTCATCAGAACAGTAAAAACCAATGAAGACTGGAGACAATTGGTGATATGATTCGTTGTCAATGGCTGGCGCAAATGCATCCTCTCCTTTTTGGCTTATAATATCCAACAAAACTATACGGTTCTTCCACATTACTATTCTTTTTGCCTCATATCTCTGTTTTGAATCTCTTCTTACTTTCTTCTCTTGTTTTGTGTGCTAAGTGAAGTGTGGCAACTCGAACTGCTGTGCACATTTGTGATGGGCAAAGTTCTACGTTGAAACCAGTCAGTCAATTTCCATTAAGAAAATCAATAAAAAAAACAAACCTCACAAGAAAAAGGGGGGAAAGGACTAGTAGTGGTGGAACTATTGAGCATAACATAGATAACAAAGAATTTAAGGCGTATACAGTTTCACTATATAAATTAGGCGTATATGAAATCCTGTGTAGTTTTTTTTTTTAATAAAGCAGGAATTATTTAGGGTTTTGCATGGCATTTAAACACCTCTACATATACTCACTTAGGAACACACTAGCTCGTGTAGGTTGATCCAATTAGACAAAATATATATATATTTTTTATCTACAAAATACCTTGCAATGATTGTGCAAGATCAACAACTACGTAGGTTAGACCCCAAGTCGCTCCTGATCAAATCAGGCTATCGGAACGTAAGGATTTTCAGCTAAGTGTGGAATGACTAACTCCACGAAGGTGAATAGTCTAGAGAAAGACTCTTAGCACAATTGCAATGCATTTAATGGTACACAATAGGGGGTGGGAGATGTCAGAGCTACATATCTGACAAGTGATATAGGTAAGAAAAAGGGGAGGTTTATCACTCATTGTATATATATATATATATATTATTAATATTATATATATATATATATATATATATATATATATATATATATATATACTGCCCAGCAAATATGCGGAATAAAATAGGAATGGATTGAACTCACTAAAGCGAGAGATTGTTAGGTGATATCGCGCTCCAGGCTCTCGACGGCAACGCGGATGAGAAACAACGTGTTAAACGTCACTTCGAGGGTGATATTGAAGAGATTGTGTCAAGAAGAGGAGGAGGAGGAGGAGAAGGAGATAAGAGACTATGGGCAATCGACAGGGCCAGCTAAAGAGAGCTGCTCTGAGAACACAAGAAAATGGGCATGTACTATTGAAGTCTTATGTCCCACTCGGAATCCAGCGGAATAAAAATCTAAACAGCTACACTCCTATGCCTCCATTCGTGAAATGAGCTTTTACCAACCAAAATTGATATTCTTTAGGAACTGCGTGTGTGTGTGTGTGTGTTCTAAAGTCGTGCTATGACACAATTTGTAATTGTAGGTATATTATATCATAATAATATTGTGTATCACTGACGTAAATGGTGCCATACAAAGTACTGGTTTATCAAATATGGATTAGGAAATGGAAATGAATTTGGCATACGCTGAGGAGACTGTCGAACAACATCACCCACCAAGCCATTGGAATCGAATGGAATCCGGGTAAGAAACAAGGAGTTAGTCATGGGTCCGAGAGTTACTCAGAAGAAATCAGAGACTATGAGCAATCGTGAGATTGGTTAAAGAGGGCCGCATAAAGTTGGCCAAAGTGGAGGTATGCTGTTGAAGTCCCATGTTTCACTTGGAACCCAAGGGAACAATAGTAATAATAATAATAATAATAGTATTATATTGTCTACACATAGATGGAATTATTATTACTTAACTTTTACCACACTACACGCTGCTTTCTATGTATGTCCACCTATTTACACCCTTTGTATTTTTGTGGTTATTATCATTTAGAATCCTTCGAAACCAGATTTTAATCATTTCTTATTTGAAACAATCTGCTTGTGCATTCGGTTAACATGTGCAGCTGATCCTAATTCTGTGGTACATTTTGAAGCAGCATTTCTACCAATTTTCCAGGATATTCTACAACAAGATGTTGTGGGTAAGTGTGTTCTTTTTGTTGTTGAGTCATTTTGACACGGAAATTCCAAGATGTCTATGCACACAGACTGTTAACCGACAAAGTTTACCCACTTAGGCTAGCCCACCTCTAATTGTAGTGAATCAATTCAACTGCACCTCCGCACACTCCACCCTCTTGTGGGACCATTTATATTTTTGACCATTGCTCTAGGAAGTTGATTTTTCGTGCTCAGGAACACCTACCGCATTGTCTAACTAGACGAAGATGTTTGTAGTTCGATATTAGACCACCTGGTTCAGACACAATCATTCGGTACCGAAAATACATTGACAGAAGCTCCCAGTGATCGGATACTGTCTGTCTGTGCTTTTGAAAGTGTGTAGGCGGTTGCTACTTCCCGGCTGCCCACACCGTGGGAGTTGCTTGATTATTCGGGTACTTGAAACAGAAAGAGGGTTAGTGTTGGGTGACCGCAGAGACCAGGGGACAACTGCTAGAGGCCAGCTGGTCACACACGGCCTGTATGAACTGGTTTCTGGGATTGGTTCCGTATTGATAAACTCATCGCCGGTTACGGACCACCGAAGGTGGAGTAAGTCGTGGTGTACAGTTTTTTGGGTTGACCTTTTCTAACCTCCTCTCTCCGGAGTCGAGAGACAGCATAGCTGACTGGTATGCTGGTCATCTGAGGGAAACACCTCACTGCTTATACATCCCTATTCCCCAGCAATACGACTTCGCCCTCAGATCCCCATCATAGTGTAAGAAAGATTCTTACACTTTTCCGGTAACTGGTTTTAGTCTAATCGCTATCCTAACAACCTTCCTGGCATAGTAGGTAGAACCTGTTGGAACATTGGTTCCAGCCACTGTAGCTTATGCAAGCCCGACCACCAAGTCAAGGTAGCAGCTATCGGTCGGGGTCAGATACTGCGAACAACAGAGGTGACTACAATTTGCCTAAAACAACCGAGAGCTATGTGTATGTGTGTGTGCTAAAAGAAACACGTTCAACCAGCCACTGTTGTGCTACTCCCCCCCCTAAGCCTGCCTTCTTTCTCAGTTCATCTGATATTCAGTTTAGTGTAACTGTGTATAGTATACCCGATGAAGAGAAAGTTATCGAAAAAGAGAATATGCTTTGTTAATGAATCAGGTTTTCAACCAGCATCTTGAGTCAATAATTATTTTAATGAAAGATTTTATGTATTAACTGTTTGTTGTACTACTACACCTTGTCGTCCACTAAATAATGAATGATCACAAGCGCCAAGACATCTGAACGTCTAGTAAATGTAGAGATGAGACGCATTGACTCATGTAGTTTGCTTTCAATCGGCCGGTCCCATGTTCGAATCCTGCTCCACTTCAGTCTAGACAGCTGGGTGATGACATCATCTCCCATCATATTTTAAGGATTGCTTATATAGCCTGGTACATGAAGTATCTGCTCCCGAATTGAGTTTAAGCAGGCATTCTAGCTCTGCTTGACTGAAATTTCATTATTATTATTATTATTTTTATGTCGTAGTCGGATACTAAAGGACTCTCGCTGAAAAAGCTTAGCTCAGTGGACACTTTTTCCTAAGTCACAGTTATACGCGAATGTAATCTATTTAAATTTCCAGCTCAGAATAACAACAAGTGGAAATAAGTTGACAGATTGTGTAATTTAATGTCGGTTCGTGGCGTCATCTGCAGCAAAATTAGTCTAAATATCAGTCTCCAGGTCATTTGGCGGCCTTAAATTGGAAGAGGTTAGATTTCACGAGTCACTAAATTTATCCTTCAAATAGCTAAATGATCGTCGAGTTGACCTCATAATTTGAAGGTCCCCTGAACTCAATTCTTAATGAAGTAGTTAGTGTGTGGTGCTGAGGAGTCCTAAACTAGACAGAAATAGTTATCCTAATGTTCGCTGGTTTTTTAATGATGTCGTTTCTTGACGAAATCTACGTAGGATAACTTGCTTAGCAATAATATATCTCCATTGTGGGTAAAATTTATTTGGATTAAAAGTCTCACAGTGTGTTATACAGTATTTAATATTTACTGATGACCACATTTCGAGTACAATTTATTACTGCTGACAATCATATCAAGTTAAGTTATTCACACAACTTTCTAACTTTGTTTATATAATTCCATCATTATTTTGCATCGCTTATGAATTATTAAAACACTTAGCTTTAATATTATGTCCCGTTAGAAATCGTTCAAACTCCACACAGAGAAATTAATTCATGCGAAATGAAAAAGAAACTAAATGACATTCAATTCGAGAATAATAAAGAAATGGTTAGTTTTGATGTAACAAGTCTTCACACTAATATACCAATCAATATGGTCGTAGAAAGAGTTCAAAGAGTAGCGAACTTCGGATCCTGAACTTGCTCACAGGACAAAGCTGCCTATTGAGGAAATTATTTTAGGAATTCAAGTATGCTTCATGTCTACTATCTTTGAATTGCACGGGGAAAGTATATAGACAAACAGAAGGTGTAGTGATGGGATCATCAATATTTCCCTTATCGTAACAGACATATTTATGGACAGCTGGGAAAATATGGTTCTTAATACATTTAATCCTACTCCAAAAATATGGTGGAGATATGTGGATGACACTTTCACACACAGTATTAAAAATAGAACGTATCTCTGGCTTCTTGACGCATATGAACTCACCAGTAGAGGGAATAAAACTCACGTTGGAGTCGAAAAATGAACAAGGAGAATTAGCTATGTTAGATGGTAAAATAAAACAAATAGAAATAAAACTGCACACTGGCGTTTGTAGAAAACCAACGTATTCTAATAATGGATATTTAGACTTTAATTCATCTGATCCGTTAACTGTTGAGGCAGGCTTAGTTAAGTGTTTAAAAAACCGAGCAATGGCACTAAATAGCACAAAAAAGACCTAAATGATGAAATAAAACAGATAGAAGAAGAAGCTTTGGTGTTAAATAACACTAACTATCCTATAAAATTCATTAGGAAGATCAGAAAAGGCCAAAAGCAAAATAAAAATATTTGTGGAACTAGTAATGATAACATAAATAAGAGAGAATATAAGTCATCCACAGTTATACCATATATGGAGGGGACATCTGAGACGCTACGTAGATTCCTAATAAAGCAGGAATTAGGTTGGCATTCAAACCTACAAACTCACTCAGGCAGGCCAAGCTCTGTAGGCTAAAGGACCCTGTCGGTTGACCCAATTAGACAAAATAATTTAATTTAAAAAATATCCTGCAATGACTGTGAGTTAAGTCAACTATCTAGGTCTTACTAGTAGATGGGGGTAGTCAGATTGTCTGTCAGAACATAAGAATTTAGCTAAGGGGTAAGAATGATTGACCCCGAGAAGATAAGTAATTTAAAAAAAGAGCTCAACAGTTGTGCACTGCATGCATTAACGCACAACCACACAATGGCATGGTGTGGGAGAGGGTTAAAATTCTAAGAAGTAATCTTTGTTCATAGAATCGACTAAACCCAACACGTGCAGTTTGGGATGCAATGACTCATCACCTAGACCGGAAATATGGAAAATACCACTACTACCAATGAAATCAAGAGATAAGCGATAGTGGAACTAATATGAACGAATTTTAGAAAGTTGTGTGAGTGTAACTTGTAACTTGACTTGATATGAGATAATGAGCAGTAATAAATTATGCTCGAAACGTGTGATTGATTTATCAAAATAAATTTTACTCACACAATAAAATTTATACGCCTAACACAGTGCACAAGTTCTATGCATAAATCAAAAATATATATGTCATTCCAACGCCTGTCTGTGTGTGTGTGTGCGTGCGCGTATTTATTGCTTCCGCTTACTTATCGTACTACATTCATTTTTATCTAGACATTACCAAGCTTGCATGTTCGTCTATGCCACTAACATCATGTTTATAACAAAAACGGAATCTGCGATCTTTTAATGTGTACACACACTCTCTCTCTCTCTGATAGTCATGTTATACAATTATATTATTATTAGATCGGGTCCCAGTGTTTCAATGGTATACGAGCTTGCCTTGTAACCGGAAGGTCCTGAGTTCGAACCCCGGTGGCTGCGTACTGCTGAAGAATCCCAAACTAGGATGAAACAGCTGTCCACTACTCCCAGGTTTTCCAGTGGTTCTCTAACTGATGTCAACTCATGGTGAAATCCTCCATGAAATCAAACAGAACCCCTACAAAACCAATACTTGAAAATTAATCTGATGCTCGCTAGTGACTGGCCCTATTCAGGCAGTTAACCTGGGGTTATAGTGGGAATCCGTGACCAGTAGGGTAGAGTAGGTTGAAGATGAGGAAGTAACTCATCGAAGAAGACATTCTGAAGTGGTCGTGCTATGTCGTGAATTGGCAGAAGTTAGAATTCATGCGTTGGCCATTGGATCGGGTCCCAGTGGCTTAATGGTCTACGAACTCGCCTTGTAACCAGAAGGTCCGGGTTTTACCCCGGGGGGCTACCCAAAAAACCCAGGTTTTCCAATGGTTCTCTAACTGATGTCAGCTCATGATGAAATCCTCCATGAAATCAAACAAAACCCCTACAAAACCAATACTTGAAAATTATAAATAAGGAAAAAGCAAACTTCTGTACACTGCACACACACTATTTTATTGTTTATTGATCACCTGGGGTATATATAAACACTTGAACAGTAGTCATCAAGTGAAGAGTGTACATCCTTCTCCTGAATTCATGACTAGGTTAACAATACATTTGTACAGATTTTTATTACAATAAGGTTTCATTTAACAATTAAGAATTGAGTGTATTAAGTGTTTGTTTTCGTTAAGGTAAAATATTAGTAATCTATGCAGGTTTGCGTCAGGACTCGAACCACTGTCCCCTGAAAATGTAGTTTGATACTCTACCAGATGAGATAATTTATTTCATTATTTCAGTACATCTAATACCATGGATGTTAATGTCCCTCGTTATGTTATGAGTGAGTCTTATGCTACATCCTGCTGTACAAGTAGATCTCCTTCTATCATTATCCTAATCGTACTGATGAGACTATCTGAGAGCTTTACTTGTTTCGTCCCAGCTGTGAATTCTTCAGCACTACATATTCACAACCTCTCCGGAGATTGAACCCAAGACCTTCACGCTATGGGGCGACCTCGTAAACCATTCAGCCATACAGATGTGATCCATTCGCTCATCAATTCTAAATTCAGGTGTTTAGATACCTTCGATCTGGCTAATAGACACTACTGATTGTTGTGAGTAGTATACAAAACTGTTCGTCTCAACCAGTCAGTAGTGTGTAGGTTTAACCCCCCCTTACCGTAATCGGTGGACCCCAGTGGTTATGTCTTCTCATATTGGAACTGCAAACATCTCGTAATCAGTTACTACTACTAAGTGAGCTTTTACTGAATTTATTCCTAACTCCAATGATAATCTAAATCCCTTTTTCTCCCCTACACACCTACACCAACTGTTGTTCCTTACACATCTAGAATTTGTACCGTATGTATTCCAATTGATAAGTGTTATGCTCGAACAGTATCCATCCTCGCAATCAGTTCAAGTGAATTGTAAGCCGCAGTCAATGTTAAACGGTAGCGCAACAAATCCCAATAGTCTACGACCTTCACAAGCGTATTCAGCTCTACTCCAGCGTATCTTAGTTCCATCATTATGGGAACCAAGTCGGAATGTTCCTTCACTTGTTCGCCTGCTACAAGCTTATCTTCTACATGATATGGATGATGTTTTATCAGAAAATAAGGTAAGTTTTTTTATCGTTTTGTTCATTGATGATGGCTTTCTTCTACCTTTAAGCTGTGTAATAATTAGTATTAATATTGTTGTTTTTCCCTTGTGTTTAATTACACTTGCTTTCTACATTTGCGAATGCTTCAATGGATGAATTTCCAAAGTCTAAAACTTTGACTGACTGACTGACTGACTTCCTGGCTGTCCATTCCTTGAAAGTTGATTTTTTTTTGAGGTGGTTTCCATGGAAAGCATTGGGAGTAGTTAGTGTGTAGCGTAACTGCAGAGTAGGTTGGTCAGCTGCTTAAGACTAGTCACGCACACACGATCTGTTTGAAGTGGTTTTTGCAGTTGTATCTGCATTGAGACGTTGCCGTTTAAGGTGGTGGTAAGTTGGGATGAACAGTTTCCAGGGTGTTGACCTTTTCTAACCTTCCGTCGTTCCCCCCACCTCCCTTTACGTAACCGACTTTAGACTTTTTTTTTAAAGTGTTTGTTACTCAACCGATATTTGCTAATCAAGGCAGTATGCTCGAACTCAGTCAGTCGTGTAAGAGCTTATACATAGTTGTTATCTGAAGTAGTGATAACAACCAGTAGTGTCCGTCAGGAATGTCCGCAGTTCTAATCTTTACTCATTAGTAGTACTCTAAACGACTTTAGAGATTGACTTCATACCAGGGAACAATCTTGCGGACTTAATGTGTTCGGATTATATTGTCTCTGGCTTAAGACGCCGAGCAAATACGGAGTCTTCTGAACAGGAATTTTCAAATATTTGGCATGTGATTCACCCCTGTCTAGTGTATGAAGGTGATACAGGACTGGTGTGCACTAACGCACTCCTTGCTCTTAAAGACACAAAATGAAGTGATGATAAAGCTTGTTGATGACTTCACTTATTTAGGAATTTGTGTCAGCCCCCTGATAGACTGACTTATTGCTGACGTCATCATAGCATGCATACAAAAGGCTGGTGTTGCATTTACTACCAAGGTACGTCATCCAGCTATCGATGAAAACGACGTGTGTTACTACACAGTAATTCGCTGTATTCTCCTCCTTCATGGCTGAGATATGTCTATTAAAATTGGAAGATATAAAAAGATCATAAATGTTCTTTCACTCGTATTAGGCGGTTAGAAGTAGAATTTTAGATATAGAGAGGATGAGCTACATCGATTGATAGATGGCTACGACGTGTGTTGCGCATGTCAAGCTTACTATCCTTCCTCTTCAAGCTATCTTAGCTGGCATAGAATGAATAACAATAATAATAATAATTTGCTTTATTCCAAAACAATACTTGTGATACAGAATGGAATTCTCAGCATTTCACTACAGTATTGCATCCAGTTAGCACATTATCAATAAATAAAATTCTACATAGATTATGTATGGGTAATCTCAGTTAGTTTTTGACAACAACATATTAACATATCGGTAGCAAAGCCAAAATTGAACAGAGTGTTTGAAGGTGTTAGAAAATTAGATGCTAGCATATTTACTGGCGTTAGCGGTAACAAATAGGTCGAGATATACAGAGTGTGAACGAACGAAGAAGAATGTTTTGAGTAGAATTTGTAAGGAAGAAAGAAAGAAAGCAGCACATAACAGAGAAAGACGAGATCCATTTGTTCTACTGACCATTTTATAAGTTATAGGTATCACGCCTAATGCTTTCTTTATCGCACGGAACACGAACCAGCCAAGTAGGGTATGGCTGAGTTTTTTTACTTGCTAGTGCAAGCGTATAGTTTTCTATATAGACTTCTGGTTTTGCCTGATAAGATACAAGGTGAGGGGGAGAGTTGTGAATGAAGAGGGTGGTGTGAATTAGATAGATAGAATGGATTTAGCCCATTTTTTCACATGAGTCCAAATGCCTGTCGACCAGAATATTGCTTACCCTGCTGACAACCTTTAACATCCTACGTAATAAGATATAGTCCTTCTTTAGTAGCCCAGGAAAAACTAAAGGGGAACAGCAGAGAATAATAATGAAGTTGGAAGGGAGTTAGAGAGATGGTCAGACTGAAATCTACCATCACCCCCACCCCCCTCACCCATAAAGCCTTTGACAGTCGGCTTGAGCCAAATAGAGAGGGTCAAAACTTCCTGGTTGGGGTCCTTGTTGTCTTAAGAACCAAAATGGCTGTTGATGGTTAATGATGTAGCGCTGCCGATGTATTTACTCCTATATCCATCAGATTCTTATTATTTGCCATAGACTTCTTCGTTCATCAAGAGATCTACGTTGATAATTTAGTTAGTCAGTTATTTTCTACGTAAAACGATAATATTGTGATTTTATTTTATCTGCTTATTATTATTATTGTTATTATCTTTTACCAGATATCACCTATCATGGGAGTATTTCAAAAATTAGCCAGTTCATCAACTAATGAAGTGCATGCCTTCGCATTACTAAATGCCTTGCTTCTAGCTGGTCCAAAAGATACTATGATGCCTAATAATTTCCGTCAAATATTTATGGTCATATTTCGTCGACTACAAACGTGTAAAACAGAAAGATTTTTGAAAGGTGAGAAAGGGAGAGAGTAAGATAATTTCCGTCAAAGGTTAAACTATCATAGCTATGAAAAAATTATACAATGACCTTGGGCGTGTTGACCAATCAGATTTCATGTGTAAAATAAAGTCGCATAATCATTGAAAAATACATTGCAAACATTATAATATACACTGTAGTTGTCCCTTATGTATCATAAGGATTTCTTCCAGTCACTACACAGATTATGATTGATCTAGCGAGAAATCATACCATGCGCGATAGATGCTGCACTCACATCCAGATGACTGTAGGCTATGGTACATTGAGATCTATTGATATTTTTGGCACTGTTCTTTGACCTAATCTTTACCTCGGCTATCTCCTACGGGAGGATGAGCCGGCTTCATGAACCATGAAGTTTCATGGGAATTGGGCACGAGTAATGTCCCCAGAATCGCTCGGCCTTTGTTTGAGAGTGCAGCTCTAGCCTTTACACAACCAAGTGTGACCTACAAGACAGTAGGAGTGGAGTAGGGAGTCTACTATCCATCGGCAGCGGTGACCGGAGTCCGGTTCATTCGCCTTTTTGAATGGGGCCAGTCATCCAGGACATCCAATAAGCCCTTTGTCCATACGTCTCCCGGTGAACTTCATGCGCCAGTCGTTGGAGGTTTGGAATCAGGGTTTAGCCATCTCCCCTAGACTGTCATCCAAAGGACAGTCAACCGGTGAAGAGCACCGGGCATCCGCTTTTGCCCTTTCACTTTGGTGAAAAACACCTCCGCCACGTGAAGGCAGTGAGTAGGACTTCCTCAGGAGAGGCTATGTAAGACGCCCGGTCATATGGGAGCATTTTAAGAGGCGCACGGAGGGGTGGCCAACCCGCAGCGCAAGACACCCACCCCGACAATCCTGAGGCTTTGGAGGCCTAACCTTAAACGTAAACCCTAATCCTAAAGGCCATAACCCTCCCTACCTAACAGTACCTAGAGAATAAGGGGAATACTGTATCTGCCTCCTCCAAGTGCAGAAAGGTAGGTATGGTTTTTTGTCTGGAATGACGTTTCATAGCGTTCCCTGTATATCTGATTGGTTCTCGAAGGTCGAATTTTGAAAGACCTTGACTTTGGCTATGATGCATTAACTTTCCCGATAGTTTTGTTTTCTTGTAAGATTCGAACCCGTGTCACCCTGTGCTGCAGTGAGCCCGAATAGTTCAGTGGTAACGTCCCTGACTGCAGCACTGGGTGACGCGAGTTCGAATCCCAGATGGCGGACATGAGTTCCTTCAAGGTTTCAGATACGCCTTGCTGACTGACGGGTTAGTACCAACTAGCACGAAACCTAGGTGGTTTCCAAGGCTTCCTCTGGGGCCGATTGCCTTCAACTATCTAATATCATCAAATGAATGTGCACTGTGATGGCGAGCTACCTAGAATGGTGGCCATATTACAACCTGACTGATAGAATTCAGTCTGCACCAAAGAGAAGACATCACACTAGTTAATAATAAAATAAATAATTTTGCTTCACGTTCCCAGTGGAGCATAGGGCTTCAAGCTAGTGGTTTGAAGTTTCTGTAGCAGTGTTTATTTTCACAGGATGGGGTTGCTAGCCTCGTGCCAAACTTTTCCTCTTTACCAGCATTATTTCTGGCTTAGCGAGGTAAAGGAGTGAGTCAGTCGGGGATCGAACCCCGAACCATGTGCATGGTTGGCGAGCGTCCTAATCACACTAGCTACTAGTGTCAAATCAAAAAGTTTCGTTTCCTGTTTTGTGACATTTTTTGATTCATACGATGTTATTATTGGCTGTGAGCTGTACATGGGCTATGTTACATGCCGAAGGATCCACAACAGAAGGCTTAGCGAAACATTTGAAGTGAGGACAGGAGTAAGACAAGACTGGCTGGTTGCCTACTATTATCGATCATATTCCTAATTGTCGTGGATTGGATCATGCGACAGACCGTGAGGAATAAAAAAAAGCAAGGGTACGTTGAACCGAGAGAAATTTGAAAAAAGATCATCGTTTTGATCTGTGGGTGGCGGCACGGATGAAAATGTCAAAGCCAGGCTCACAAAGGAAAGATGGACCTTCTTCAAGATCCGAATTTTCAACACGACTATCTAATCAATACTTGTATACGGGTAAGGGACCGGGCGTGCCATGAAAAGCATTTCCAAGAGGCCTGTAGACTTTCATCAACTGCTCTACTGTCTCCATACTGAAAATCAGAAAGCATAAACAACGGAAAACTCTGACACTGAATCTACCAAGTCTGTTGACTGTTAGTGTAAGGGACTATGCCTTCTCTAACGTATACAGTCTCCTGCTTACAAGAGTTCAAGTATACCCCATTTTGAAGGAGGTGTGTACATGTCAAAGTAAGGGAAAGATATCGAATGAAATCTCAAGAATAAAAATAATGATGTACGGACTTAGAGTATAATAATAAATGAAGATTTGTCAGTATTTTCATGTAACCATTAGTCTATATCATTGAGTCATATCGCTATCAGTCTTCTATTAATGATTCTTAGTATACCACAGACAAGACCCTACCCATACAGTTTGCACCTGTCTACCTACACGGCTTAAACTAACAGTGAAAACTTCAACTGAAGTTACATCGATTGAGATGGTTAGGACATGTGTTACGTATGCATGCCTAACCGTCACCTTCCTCGACAATGGGCAATATTAGCTGACATAAGATGGATCAGGTTGGAAAAGAGTTAGCCAGTGGTGGTTAAACCAAAACATAACTTCATCAGTCAATCAAATCCACAACAGCTCTCTAGTACTCCCAGTTGGTTTTCCAATGGTTCTCTAACTAATGTCAGCTCATGATAAAATCCTGTAACCAATCAACCAAATCCCTACAAACCGACACTTAAAAATCCACAACAGTTAGTTTAAGCCACGTAGAAAAATGTGTGAACTTCCCGACTGGTTGGGATCCTCGGGACTATAAAAACCAATGAAGACTAGAGACAATTGGTGATATTATTATTATTATTGCTCCCTTTGTTCCTAGGGCTTCAACTGCACGTCTCCACTTGCCAGTACCCTTGTCTGACTCCTGTGTTTACTCCAAACGCGCGCTGAGTTTTCCTTTGTGGATGACTCGACGTGTGCCGTTGTCGTACAGCTGTTGAATAAGGTTGATGAATATTTGGGGTATGCCGTAGTGGTACTCGACTAGTTTCCAAATTACTTCGCGGTCAACGCTGTCTGTCGAAGGCCTTCTCGAAGTCTATAAAGTTGAGGTAGAGGTTTGATTGCCATTCCATGCTTTGTTCGATGATGATACGTAGAGTTGCAATTTGGTCAGAACATGATTTGCCTTTCCTGAATCCAGCTTGTTCTGGTCGAAAATATTTATCCAGCGCGTCCTTAATTCTCTCCAGGATGATGCGACTCATGATTTTACTTGGCGTCGATAGGAGCATGATTCCTCGCCAGTTCTTGCAGAGTGAGGCGTAAGTCGCCCTTCTTTGGTAGTTTCACGAGGTAACCTTTCTTCCAGTCAGTAGGCACCTTTCCCTCCTTCCAGACCTTTTGCAATAATGGAGTCAGCATGTCTGCTGTCGTCTCTGGGTCCGCTTTTAGTGCTTCAGGGGTATTCCATCTGGTCCGGCTGTTTTTCCAGTTTTCAGAAGCTTGATTGCATTCAAGACTTCAGCTCTTGTTGGAGGATTGGTGTCAACTTGCAGTTGTGTGCGCGCTGTTGTTGGTATTTCTGGACGGTTGCAGTTGATGGTCGTTTCAAGAGTCCTTTGAAGTGATCCTCCCATCGTTTAATCTGTTTTTCTTCCTTGGTAATTGGGTTCCCTTGGCTAGCTCAAAATCTTTCTCAGTGGCGCAAATGTGTCTACTCCTTGTGACTTATAACATCCAATTAAACCATATGGTTCTCCCATATTACTATTCTTTTTGCCTCATATCTCTGTTTACTGTCTCTATTTTGCATTTCTTTTCATTTCACGAAAGATACACATTTAATCATAGGAATTAATAATAATAATAATTAACTTTATTGCAAAAAAAACAGTACTTGTGATATAGAATGGAATTTTCGGCGTTAATCACACTATTGCATCTAATTTCCTCAAATTATAAATGAAATTAATCACACAGAAAGTGGTTACAGCGAAGAAAATTATCTTTTCGACGAAGCCATCGTCAGCTAGGCTGTACATTCGTGTATCTATAATAAATGGGTTAGCGGGAAAGTTCCAGAATAATTTCCGGTTAAGGGTCAAATTAATAAAATTACAAGTAGGAATTAAAATACCATGATAAACAGGGGAGAGGGACAAATAAAACTCCCAAACAAAGTAGCATCATAATTTTCTATAGTTTGGTTTGTAACGATTAGTTATTTTTTAACGAGTTGATCACGAATTGATATCAGTTGGAGAACCATTGAAAACCAGTGAGTGTATGACAGCTGTTTCATCCTAGTTTCTGGGATTCATCGGCAGTACGCACCCAATGGGATTCGAACCCAGGACCAATGGTTGGAGTCGCGCTAAATCACGAATTAGTAGAAGTAAGAATTCATCAACTGGTCATTGAATCGGTTCCCAGTAGCTGAATGGTATACGAACCAGCTTGCCTTGTAACCGGAAGGTCCTGGGTTCGAACCCCGTAGTGTGGGTGCCTAATGCCAATGATTCCCAAACTAGGATGAAACAGCAGCTGTCCAGTATACTCCCTGGTTTTCAATAGTTCTCTAACTGATATCAATGCGTGATATGAAAATATGGTAGTTTAAATAGGGGTTAAGAAAAGCTTAAAAATAACATAAATAAACAGGAAGTTTGGATAAGAAAGGCGACGGGGGATGGTCATTACTAAAAGAATTACCTGTTTATGATGGCCATGACAGGAGGGGGGACAACGGTCGGTCGAATTGCTACACATCTGTGCAAAGTTCTGTGTTGAATTCAGTCTGTCAGAAAACTTCAACCTGATTCTATTTCACCTTTTTATTGGTCTTGTATATAAAGAAGAGCCAAAAAGGAGACGTTTATTTCATCTAGTATGCAGTATGCCTTTTTCTTCTGAATATGAAGTTGCATTTTTAGGACTGTTCAATTTCATTCAATTAACTTCTCATATCTCCCTTTGCTTTTCTCTCTCCCACCCCCCACCAACCCCACCAACTTTTTTTTCTAGCCTTTGCATCATTCATCGCTCATTTTGTATTGATCTATTCACCGAATGAATTAATCACCCTTGTCGATGGTATTCAATCGAATATATTCTCGCGTGTTTTGGAGAAAGTACTCATTCCATATGCTGACGCCATTATCACTAGTCCTTTGATCCCGTCAATTGGTTTTGGAAGTAAGTTAGCTGAATTTTTGATATTTTTTTGCGCATTTGCATAACTTATACTCTTTAATGCTGTGTGGATCTACCCTTTTTTTATCATCGAGAACACTGCTGTAACTTTTATCAGGAGTTATAGTCGATATATATATATATATATATTCTGTCCAAGAACTTGGCTGTCAGACAGACGATTGACTAACTGTCTTTATGAATTTCTTTTTAGTCATTGCAAAAAATGAAGTCGAAACTTGTGACTATCGCCCCGCAAATATTTGTTCTCTTTTTATTCTTGGAAAGTCGTGTCAGGATTTGAAACCTAGTCTTAGTCGATCGAAAGTACTAGGGCATGCATGCAAAGCTCTCAACCACCACCACCACCACCACTTACCTTTCATCTATGTCGATGTGGTCTTTTCATTTCCCAAGGCTGCTTAGTTGAAGTTCACATAACCACGAGACTTTTTTTTTATAGAAAAGGACTGTAGATAAATCGGTATAAGCGGTAGTGACACAGATAAGTTCATGGTAGTTCATTGTATTACCATACCTTCTTGTTTGCTTTATTCTTTGAGAAGACTATACAAGAAATGTTAAAATTCCCTAGTGGTTTTCAATACTGCTAGCGGCACAGCGGTATAATGCTCACCATCCACGCCCCATGTGGTTCGGGGTTCGATTCCTGGCCCCCGATGAGGCACTCCTTTACCTCGCTAAGCCAGTAAGTAATAAGACTGGTAAAGAGGGGGGAAGGTTGGGCATGAGGTTGGCTAGCAAGCTCCATCCGGTAAAAATAAGACAACCACTTCTACCGAAACTTCAAGCCTCTAGCTTGAAGCTCTATGTTCCAGTTGGAACGTAAAGGAATAAAGAAAACAGTTTAAATAAACTGCTTTTACAAATATGAATGATTACAGGATTTCATCATGAGCTGACATTAGTTAGAGAACCATTGGAAAACCTTGGAGTACTGGACAACTGTTTCGTCCTAGTTTGGGACCCTTCATCAGTACACACCCACCGGGATTCGAACCCAGGACCTTCCGGCTACAAGACGAGCTCGTATACCATTAAGCCACTGGGACCCGACCCAATGGTTCAGTGGTGGGTGCGTACCGATGAAGAGTCCCAAACTAGGACGAAACAGCTCTCCAGTACTTTAAGGTTTTCCAATGGTTCTCTAACTAATGTCAGCTCATGATGAAATCCTGTAACGAATCAATCAAATCCCTACAAACCAACACTTAAATATGAATGAATTTAATTGAATTTTAGATTTTCTAGGTGATTGATTGGACCGAAGTGCTCGGTCTCAGGTTGACAAATCTGCTGGCTTCTTGTGCAGATGCTTCGACTATGCATTTGCAGGTAGGTATATTCAGCTGACGAGTCCCAAATAAGACGAAATGTGCATCCTGGATTCCACTGCTAGTCACCATTCACCAATTAAATACTAAGTAAATTGCCCAGGTATCGTCGAAGCATCTGCACAAGAAGCCGATAGATATGTCAACCTGAGACCCCGAGCACTTAGGTCCAGTCAGTCGACGGGAAAGTCTAAAATTCAGTTAAATAATTAATATGACCAGTTGCACAAGAGGGTGGCTCTTGTGGCCCAAGCGGTCCAGTGGATGACGCTTTGGCATCTGAAACTGTGGGCATTGGGTTCGAGCCTCGGTGGGAACATCATCACTCACTGAGAAATGCAAGTACATCCAGTTGACCTGAGGTCCCAAATAGGACGAAATGGATTCCATTGTTAGTCACCGTCCACCAATTAAATATAAATGAGCATTTGAGACTGCTAATTCCTTTTTTATGTGAACTTCGCCAAAACAATGAAAAAACGCAATTGATCTGAATCGTGTTTTGTGTATTGTTCAACACATTCCAATCTGATCGCATACAAGCATATACATGTCATACGGGGAATATATGCGGAAATAATAATAATAATTCGTTTTTAAGGGGTGAGAGAATAGGCATAGAACAAGGTGAAAGAAGATATTATTATTATTATTATTATTATTGAAGGTCAAAACAATAACAATGGAGGTGTGTGTTAATAAACTAAAGATTGAGGAGATTAATAGTACATCTGTCCTTGATATTCAAAACAAAGTTTACCAAAGAAGCTTTAGTGTGATGACAAATTGTTTTTGAACACAAACTTTAGGATACCCCCCACCCTCCACCCATCCTTCCGCCAAACATGTTTTATAGATAAGTTTACAAGAGGTGTAAACATAAATTTTATGATGACTTGTTTCTGTATTACGTTTTAATCATGAATAGGTTCTCAGGAAGTATTTCGATTTGCTTCTGAAGCTCTGACTTGCTCAGATCAATGTTGATTGATTACACGCACATTCGAATTGATAGATACATTGGGATGTGATATCATTCTTTCTATGTTCTTAAAGAGCTTAGATGGATATATGGGTTTGACAATTCACTCACCCCTTTCCAGGTTCATATTTTCATATAAAAATGCCTGTGATCAGATTGCTCGAAATATATGTGTGTGTTACGTGTGCTTGTTGTTCTGCTGGAGCCAGCCAGCATTTCTCAAATGTGAACAGCGATAGGGCAAACATCGGTGTATAATTATGCTGGATCCATTTTATTTCGTCGCTCCCCCACCACTCGTCAGCTGAAAAAATGAACAAATCTATTGTTGTTAGGAAATCAAAGATAATAAAACACAGTTGATTAGAACTCATAAGATTAGCAAAGTTTCTTGGTGTGTGCGAAGTCGAATGAAAAAAATGATGACGCAATACAGTGAGTAGGGCAAGAGTAAACAATAGACACCAAAGTTGAAATGACCTAGATTTGACCAATCAGATAGTAAATAGCTTAGCACTACAAAAGGTTGCTAGTCATAATCCTCGGTGAAAAAATGTCTCCTAGATTTGGTTTTCGACTTCTCTGCAGAAAATGTGCGTCGGTGGCACAGTGGTTAGGACTCTCGCCGACCGTGCACATGGTCCGAGGTTTGACTCTCTGCCGACGCACACGTACCTGATATCTATGGTTGGCCTGCAAAAGTTGGGCTACCGATATCCATGCTGAAAATTCCATACTTGTACCAAAAAAAATGCAGTGTGGAATCAAGCTGTAATCAACAATAAAATAAAACAGGCCTGTGTGGAAGGATAATAACTCTGGAAAGAAGTATTACCGGACCATTGATGATGATTATACATTCAGATACGACCACTTTATATGAGGGGAAGTCTGTATAAGTTAGTAAATCGTTCATAGTTAGTGACTTTTTTTGCACACTTTCTTTTCGAAATCAAAGCTCTCTCTTAGTAATATGTATTGCATATATGCAACCAGTATCTGTTACAGCTGGAGAAATATAGAATACATTGGTTTTTTAATGTGTTGTCTATAACCACTTCTATGAGACCAGTTCGTTCAGCATACTAGAGATATATACCCCCCTCTATATGATTCATTTTTATTACATATATATAGATCGTAGATACACTTCCTTGTAAATTAAGTACCATTTTCCACCCAGAAAAATCTGATTGGTTGTTTCAAGGTCGTCTGCAGTTGATGTCTATTCTTTACTGTTGCTGTGAGTAGTATTCAAAGGATCAAATATGAGAGTCAAACCAAAAGTGGGGAAGATGTTGACACAAAATGAGAAAAATCAGAAAACAAGGATATAGTTACTTAAATGAGAGAGAGAGAGAGAGTTATCAGGGTGACTGAAGTCGTCTCACTTATATATGTGTCAGGTTTCATTTGTTTTATTGCTTGTAACCTCAGCGTATTAATTATTCCAAATGCTTTCAATGCGTCTACTCGATGTCCTGTGTGTCTATCAGGTGTTTGGTAGCTGTATTATTATTATTATTATTCCCATGGATTCCGAATGGAACGTAGGGCTTCTTCAACAGAATATCTCCCTTTTTTTACATCCTGTTCTCTACACTCCTCTTTACTTGGCTAGCTACACGACTTCTCATAGGCTTTCATCTCCTTCATATCATCCGCCTAAATAACGCCCAACTTGCTGTTCCCCCATTCTGGTTTCACTGAAGAGTGTATACCTGATGTGTCACATGTCATTCAAAGGTCTCCTTGATGTATGTATGTTCGATCCAACCACACTTTCTTTTGTGTATATGTTGGGCAATAAGTTGTCGGCTGACTCTTTTGGCAGAGTCCCCTGTTGTTAATCCCTTCTGGCTAAACCATATGTGAACCATCGAAGAGGGCATCTGGTGGAAATTCTTGTCTGGTAGTTGACCAGTTTGAACTATTCCGTCCCTTTAATCGTTAGGCCTCTTTGTTAAATATTTCTCAGATTTATAATAATTTCGTTATTTTTAATTGCGTAATTAGAGATAATAAAACACAATTGATTAGAACTCATAAGATTGAAAAATCACTATTTTTCGGTGTGTTTGAAGTTGGATAGAAATATGATGATAATGATGACGTAATGCAGTGAGTAGCACTCAAAGAATCGAAAACCAAGTCTAATATGATAATAATATGATATAAGGTTTCATACGTTTTATTGCGATAGTCTCAGCAAACCAAAGAAGGTCTAGGCTGTTTTGTCCGTTAATTTTTTTGAATGTTTCCGACACGTTTACTCAGTGTACTGTTAACTGTATTGTTATTCCCTTGAGAACGTAGGGCTTATATTACTAATTATATGTATATAAAAAAGCAACAAACAATCAATGAAACTTATCGCGTGCTATTACACGTGTTGCAATTTCCTTCTTTCTTCCCTTCCCGATGATAGTTAACAAATACTATTTGAACTTGTTAAGCACGACTGTTTTCCTTCCAGATGAAGTTCTTTATCTGTTCTCTACTTATATATATATTTTTTCTTTTGATCTATGTTTTATTATTATTGTGTGGCGCATCCTTCTTGATGCCATATTGTACCAAGTTTTTTATACGTTTAAATAAATAATAATAAATAGGACGCAGGGCTTCGAGGTGGGGATTAGCCTGACTAATACGGTGTCTTAAGTTGTAGGTTCAATAATCATGCGTAGATTAAGTGATGGTGGGGAGAAACAAACACGAGAGAACGAGTCAGGCTTTAGACCAGGAAGCGAGTGTGTTGATCATATCTCTAACCTTCGACAGATTATAGAATATAGACTTATTTGTTTTGACAACAACACATTACTGTTTTATCCGGCTTCCAACAGTCCATCATTTCTCACAAGCTTCCACCTCATGCTTACACAATCCTCTCCATGTGATGACACTCTCGAAGTCATGCACAACTCGCCGTTTCCCATTCAGGTTTCACTCTTGCATATGCCTAGCGCATGATGCCTGCCTAGCATATGTCCAATGCCTTGGTCAGTTCGTTGCCAGAGTTCCTTGTCCCCTATCCTTTCTGGTCGACCATCTGATCTTCAGTATGGAGCCAGGGAAGGCGGTGGCTCTTGAGGAAAATCTACAGTGGCTTGTTGGAAATTCTTGTCCGGTAAAAAGCCAGGCAGGCTTTAGACCAGGAAGAGGGTGTATTGATCATATCTTCACCCTCCGACAGATTCTAGAACATAGGCATTCCTACCGGCGTCCAACAGTCATTATATTTCTTGACCTAAAGGCAGCATTCGACTCTGTCGATCGGGAAGTTCTCTGGAGATGCTTGGCTGTAAAGGGAATTCCAAGAAAATATATTGCACTGATTAAGGCACTCTACTCGTACTCATACAGCCAGGTGAGGGCTTACGGCGAGCTGTCATCTGAACTGATGACGACCAGTGGTGTCCGTCAAGGATGCCCATTATCTCCTTTTCTATTCAACTTCATCATAGATGTGTTAATGGACTTAACCCTAGGTGACTTCAGTGACTCAGGGATTGACTTGCTACCGGGGAATAATCTCGTTGACTTGGAATATGCAGACGATATAGTCCTTCTAGGCGAAGACGCTGACGAAATGCAGAGTCTTCTGAACACCTTGAGTCGCAATCTACGAATGTTTGGCATGCGATTCGCTCCCGCCAAATGCAAGATGATGTTACAGGACTGGACTACATCGACGCCTAGTTTAAAAATAGGAAGTGAAGTGGTAGAGCACATTGACCGCTTCGCTTATTTGGGAAGTACCATCAGCCCCAACGGGCTGATCTCTGACGAAATCTCAGCACGAATACAAGGGGCTCGTTTCGCATTTGTTAGTTTACGCCGACTCTGGCGTAGACGAGATGTTCGACTATCGACCAAAGGGCGGGTGTAGTGCTCATCAGTCCGCTCCGTCCTCCTGTATGGTTGTGAGACCTGGTCACTGAGAGTGGAAGACATGAAACGCCTAGCTGTGTTTGATCATAGGTGCCTGCGTTCTATTTCCCGTGTAAAGTCGCATAATAAGGTGAGCAACATTGAGGTTAGGCGCCGAGTTCTAGGTAAACAGGGGAAATCAATCGACGAAGTCGTGAAGCTACAAAGACTGAGATGGTTAGGACATGTGTTACGTATGCCAAGCCATCGCCTCCCTCGACGAGCAATGTTAGCGGATATAGGGTCAGGCTGGAAAAAAGCTAGCGGCGGTCAAATAAAAACTTGGCACCAGTCAATGAAATCCACAACAGTTGGTCTAAGCCACGTAGGAAGGTGTAGACTTCCTGACTGGGGTCCTCGGGACGGTAAAAATCTATGGTTGGAAACAATTGGTGACATGACTCAAAACCGTTCTCAGTGGCGCAGAAGCATCCACTCCCTGTGACTTATGATCTTCAATGAAACTGTTTTGTATTTCTTTATTACTCCTTTGTCTCACACCTCTGCTCACTGTTTCTATTATGCTTTTCTTGTACTTTCTTCTCTTGCTTCGCGTGCTACACGGAATGTGGCGACTTGAACTTCTGCACATTTGTGCAAAGTTCTATGTCGAAAACAGACAGACAGACAGACTTGTCCGGTAATTAACAAGTTTGAAGTATTCCGTCTCTTTAATCGGGAAGCCCTGTTTGTTAAATATTTCTCAGATTTATAATAATTTCGTTATTTTTAATTTCTATGTTCTATGTGTTGAGACACAGTACATAATACAATATATAATATAGTATTCTATGTATCTAAATTATTTTTTGCTACTCTTATAGAAAGCACTGAAACCTCAGGTATCCCATCTACTTATGTTTGTACACAATGGCGTGAAAATTCTATTGGTTTGATAAGATTTATCGGTGAAGCACAAGGGCTACTTGTTGATGGTGCTGCTTATCGTGCTTCATGGTTGCCTTTGCTGACAAAAATTATCTCCGGTCTGGCAAATGGTCCAAATCGTGGTGGTGAGGCAGCAAGTGATATTGCTGTATCAACTGCTATTAATTCAATGGTGAATGGTTTCAGTAAAGATGAACGTTTCATTGAAATGGATTCTGATCCGTGTAAGTTGATCATCTTTCGCTTGTGATGTTTGTTTCTACTCTTATTGACAGATACACACACACACACACACATGTTACGTTATTCCAAACCACTGATATCCCTGATGTACATTCGTTATCCTCCCTATGGATGTTGTAAGAAACAGAGGGAGGAAGTTGTCTGTGATGACAAGAACTGACTAATTGAGTTTCAACATTGAACTATTCAGAGAAGTATAGCGATTCAAGTCGCCACATTGCTGCATACACGTAGTACACAAAGGTAGATTCAAGAGGCCTACAATGCGTAGAAATATGTAGCGGTCCTCCATCTGTGACTGAAGTTACTTGGACTTCTTGGGCAAATTAAAGCAGTAGAACCTGTTGGGATCACTCCAGAGGGGTTTAAGGATGGTGTCTAGACGAAGTGGTGTATTACGCGATTTCTGAGAATCAGAGATATAGTCCCGTTGGACTGGTTTAAATCAACAATGATGACAATCCCAGTAAACAAGAAGGGAGATAAGTCTTTTTGTGACCATCACACAGAGGGGGATCAGCTTGACTAATATGGTATCTAAAGTTCTAGGCTCAGTAATCATGCGTAGATCTAGCGGTGCTAGGGTGAACCAAACACTAGAGAACCAGGTAGGCTTTAGACCAGGAAGAAGGTGTATATTGATCATATTGATCCAGTCTTCGACAGATTATTGAATATGGACATATGTACCGTCATCCAACAATTGTCGTTTTTCTTGACCTGAAGGCGGAATTCGACTGTGTCGATCAAGAGGTAGTATGGCATTGTTTGTTCGTGAAGGGAGTGTAGAAAAAGTACCAAGGCATTCAGCCGTGTAAGAGCTTAGGGAGAATTGTCATCTGATAACTGAGATGACAATCTTCACTGTCCGTCAGGGATGCTCACTGTCTCCATTTCTGTTTAATTTCATCATAAAAATGTACTGATGAACTTAACCCTAACTGACTTCGGCGACTTAGGGATTGATTTATTACCAGAGTAATAGTCTTGTTGACTTAGAATATTCGGATGATTATAGTCCATCCTCCTCCTAGGTGAAGACGCTGATAAACTGTCGCAATCTTTGAATGTTTGGCATGTGATTCGCTCCTGTCAAATATATAAGATGAAGCTTACTGCAGGACTGAATGACATCGACTGCTAGCTTAAGGATATGGAGTGAGGCAAGCGGTAGAGCGCGTCTGTCAATTTATTTATTTCAGAAAGTTGCAGCAACTTGGATATAAACGTCTCGTGTGTTGAAACCAGTCGGTTAGTCAATTAGAAATGTATGGGAGAATGAGAAATATTCAGGGTTAAAGAGTATATGATGGATCACAGAGAATGAATTCATCTCTCCACCATTGAGAATGATTTTAAGCTATATGGCTAACAATCTCCCCAGCTGTTTGCTTCTTATAGTATCCTCAGGACAGGCTCCTTTCAGCGAATTCAACTTCTTTAGCTGTAGAATCACATTTCTTATACATACAACTTTCTTTCTCACAAAGGCCTCCAAAGCCTCAGGATGGTCGGGGGTGGGTGTCTTGCGCTGCGGGTTGGCCACCCCTCCGTACACCTCTTGAAATGCTCCAATATGACCAGGCGTCTTACATAGCCTCTCCTGAGGAAGTCCTACTCACTGCCTTCACGTGGCGGAGGTGTTTTTCACCAAAGTGAGAGGGCAAAAGCGGATACTCGGCGCTCTTCACCGGGTTGACTGTCCATTGGATGACAGTCTAGGGGAGATGGCTAAACCCTGATTCCAAACCTCCAACGACTGGCGTAAGAAGCTCACTGGAGCTCACTGGGGAAAGGGTTTTGGCCCGGGGCCCCTTAAAAAGGAAAACCGGCCGGCCGGGGTTCCAAGGGGCCCCCCCTTGGCCTTGGTTAAAGGAAAAAAAGGTTGGGGACCCAATTCCCAAATTGGTTAACCGGCCCCCCGGCCAAAAAAAAATTTAAAGAGGATAGTAACAAAACTTATGAGTTCTCATACTCACAGTTGTTAATATTAATCAATTTTGATGCATCCACTACTACTCCTACTTCTTCCTTTTCAACAGATCACTTCTTCTTCTGCTTTGCCTTTCATCCTAGAGAATTTTCTATGTTTTGTTTCTCTCCAGCCCCCCCGCGGCACCCACCATTTTTGATACTTTCACCATCGCCTCTTCTATGCGGCGCTGATTTTCCTTTTTACCTAATCCGGTTATCTTTTTTCCTCTTTCCAATTTTGCACCTTTTGAGTTAAATAAGAATATTAAAGTTTCATAACAAGATAAATAATTTATAGGATTTCATTATGAGCGCTGACATCGGTTAGAGAACCATCGGGAAACTACCATGCAGTACTGGACAGCCAGCTGTTTCGTCCTGGTGCTCGACTCTCTTCGTCAGTACGCATCCACTTGGGGGGGATTCGAACCCCGAGACCTTTGGGTTACACAGCCAGCGAGCTTGTAGGCCTTTTAACCACTGGAACCCAACTCAAACGGCCCATGAATTCCAACTTCTGTCAATTCATGATATAGGACGGCTGACACTAACCAGTGTGATCGCTAGCAAATATTCGTCCTCACTGATGAAGAGTCCAAAATTGGGACGAAACAGCTATCTAGTACTCTAGTATTCTTGGTTTTCCAATTGTTCCCTAACCGATATCTGCTAATGATGAAATCCGTAACGAATTGAATCGCTGCAAAACAACGCTTGTATAAATAATTAAATGAATGAGTTGTGATCAGAATGCATACAGAAACAAATAGTGATTGTGTGAAACTACCTAATAGCCTGAGAGAAGTACAAAAATCATACATGAGGGTTAAAAAAAGCAAGATCAACTTGGTAGGTTGTTGCTATGTTGTGTTGTGTAAGATAGAAGTAGTTGAATAATTCTCCTCTGTATGGCAGACCTCCAGTCTCTCTGTCTCTATAATAATGGTCAGACCTTCAGCAATGTGCACAGATGGTGACAAAAGTGAATATTGTCTTTGAGCATGGATTGATACCAGTTGTTTTTGGTTTAACCACGCCTAACTCTGTAGCACGCTTATTCCTAGACCTCAGGTAACGTTGTTCGTTGATTGAGGTAGGAAGGCGGTGGTTCTGATTGACTAAATACATGGGTGTTTTTATGTTGTGCATTGCTTTGAGAGAATAATTCTGAATACTGTGAGACTGTCTGGTCTGTCTGGATTCAACATAGAACTTGCCACCGAAGTGCACCACTTCGAGTTGCCACGTTCCAAATAGCACACAGAGGTAGACAAGAAGATGAGTTAAGAGAATCAATAGAGTTTCACAAGTATAAGAGTGAAACAGAAAATGGGTAATGGTAGAAAGGAATATGAAAGATTACAGAGACTTAATACATCTGCGCTGGCCATTGACAACGATTTTGAGTCATGTCACCTATTGTCTCCAGCCATTGATATTGCTTCTTAGAGTCCCGAGAGCCCCAACCCGGAAGTCTGCATATCCCCACCTACCTGACTCAGTTCAACTGTCAAGGATTTCATGGATTGATGACATGTTTTGTTTGGCCACCACTTACTCTTTTCCAACCTCCACCTATATCAGCTAGTAATGCCCGTCGGAGGAGGCGATGGTCAGGCATGCGCAACACGTGACCTAGCCATCTCAATCTATGTAACTTTATAGCCTCGTCGATTGATTTTCCCTCTTTTCCTGCTCAACACTCTACGCCTAACGTCAACATTACTTACCTTATTAAACCACCTAACGTGAGAAAGAGATCGTAGACATCTATGATCGAAAGCAGCCAACCTTTTCATGTCTTCTTCGACTCGTATTGGCCATGTTTCAGAGCCATAGAGAAGGACGGAGCGAACTGCTGAGCAGTACACACGTCTCTTGGTTGATAGCCAGCCGGATGTCACGCCTACGCCAGAGATGGTGTAAGTCAGCGAAAGCAGCTCGAGCTTTTTGGATCTGTGCTGAGATTTTGTCGCCAATCAGTCCGTTGGTGCTGATACAACTTCCCGAATAGATGAAGTGGTCAACATGTTCTATCACTTCACTCCCTATCACTAAGCTAGGTAGGAGTTGACGTGGTCCAGTCCTGTAGCAGCATGTTACATTTTACAGGGGCGAGTCGCATGCCAAACATTCGTAGATTACTGCTCAAGGTGTTCAGAAGACTCTGCTGGATTTTGTCAACATCCTCCCCTAACAGGACTATGTCATCTGCATATTCTAAGTCCATAAGACTATTCCCTGGTAACAAGGCGATTCCTAAGTCGTTAAGTTCAGATAAGAATACTTCCATGTACATGTAATGCCACCCAGATATACTCGTATGTAAAGAAATACAAAACCAGTCTTTTTTTGGTGATAAATCATTTTATATCCACTGGCTTAAGAATTTGTATCAATGTGTCGTGGGAGGACTTTTTCCACTACTATTTATTTCCTGTATTCATGCATCTTTCTCTCCCTGTCCTTGTCTCTACAGCTGGTCAATCAGCCTATTCTCAACTGACATTTGCAGTTCAACGTCTTCCTGATCTGTGTGCATCGATTACAGATCCAAGAATTTATCTGGCTAAAACACTGCACGATTTGTCGAACCAATCGCCTGGAAAGGTAAATGATACATGTGTTTTGTCTTTGCTCGAATTACAATTCTTTCCTGTTTTATACAATGTAGTACGGAAATTAAAGTTTATTATTTATCTAATGTATTTTTATTATATTTCTGCATTGAAGTTCATGTATCAGTTTGGTTAAGTTTTGGGGGTGGAGTTGCCAGCACCACGCCCCAACCGTCGCTCTTTATCCGGGGTTGGTACTAGCAAGCTAGTAATCTAGGCGAGAAATTTGAAAGAGGTTACTTCATTCACTTATCTAGCATTCAGCATTGTCTCAACTACAGGCAGTTGGAACGGATGAGGATGTCAAATCGAGCGAGAATCGGGTGGTGGGCGAGAAACACATTCACTCATCAACCTGAAACCAATCTGGAAATCTTCGTCCCTCAGCTCTGGCTGAGGGACAACAACAAAATTCGGGCGGATTTTCAATACAAACGTCAAGTCAGTCAGTTCTTCTATACGGATCAGAAACTTGGCGGGCGGGTCACAAAGAATATCTCCACCAACAGCCTGTTGCAGACCTTTATCAACCAACAACTGTCTTCGCTCTATACTGAAGATCAGATGGCCGGAAAGAATCGCCAACAAGAAACTATGGGAACAAGCAAAACAAGAACGAATCGCCAACCAACAAATATGCAGGAGAAAGTGGAGATGGATCGGACACTCGCTGAGGAGACCGCTGGGTGACATCGCCCGCGCATCAGGCCGAAAGGGAAGCGGCTAGTGGGTCGTCTGTACAAGGATGACATGGAGGAGATCGTGTGAAGAGTTGAGGAGTTGAAACAGTATGGGCTAACTAACATGGATGCAAGTGAAAAGTACAGCAGAAGCAAGTGGAGACGTACAGTTGAAGCCCACTAGGAACCCAAGGGAACAATAATAATAAAATAAATTTATGTTATGTGATATCGAAATTGACGGTGAGGAGGAGCAACCCACTACCCATATACATACCGTATCAATCACTATTCTAACTCGATAGTACGATTTATAGCGGCAATAGTAAAAAGGCGGACGATGTTCGACACCGTGTTTCTTCCCACATTTACTGTGGGATCACTCAGAACGACCTGACTCATGGCTGATCGCTCTTCCTATGGAATTCTTGTCCTTTTTGAAATTCTTGCATCTCAAATATATATATATATGTTGCCAACACCAAGATCTGTATATCTGTGGTTACCTCCTGAAGCCTCCAGCTGGCATCCAAAGCGATTGTCATGATGATTACTGCTACTCCTTACATCACTCTGTCTAAACTTCAGCTTCCAGCAGTGTTACTTCTACTACTATCTGAACCAACCAACATTGTATGTGTTATCACGCTAGCAACATCGCGTTGGTCACGTTAATCACACACCATGTTCAACTTACAACACGAGATCGGCTTATCAAATATGACCCATTCGCCATTCATATTCAATACAAAACTCTGTTTAAGCGAGTTGAGCCTTCATTACCCTTATAAAGTTTGTGAATAAATAGGTCGAGAATATTTTCTCCTCAAATGCCCCTTAAGGAAACTTCAGATGAGACCAACTACCTACTAGATGGTTTTGACTAACATTTTGCCTTTGTAATAGTGAATCTATACGATCGACGTGTATATGTCAAAGTCGCTACAATCCTTTAGCGAAGTTTCCTCTGGCGGATTCCATATTTTCAATTTGCAGTAGGCTGTGATTGATATTTGATTCAGTATAGCCAGGACCGTAATTTTTTTCGACCAACAGGGTCACAAGTTCTAATCCTTGCCGAAGTTTAGCTAGCCGGTCACTCAGGTGGTATCACCAACTCTTACACACACACACACACACAAATACAATGGGTTTGGTTCATTGTCAACTGCACGGATACGCGGGTAATTGCTGAGTGTTAATAATGGAGTGTTGCTGGGTTATGGGTTAGTCTAACTTGACCAGAATGCACCTTCAGAGCCAACTGACTGACCTAGATAGACATAGAAGTTAGACCGGAGAAACGACCACCGGATTAGCATCAACAACCGCTCCAACACTTATTAGACTAAGTACATGGTATGTCATATTTATAAACCCTCAGAAAATTAAGCCATAAATAAACAATTTAAAACTGTGCAATTATGCCTGTCGTGTCACACAGAACATGCATAAATCACAGCTAATAAAGAAGCTTGTCCCCTATCCTAACACCTCCCCTTTTTCTCATTAAGTCTTCAATTCGAAATCCAACTGAAGATACTTAATCTCCATCTATGATATTTAAAGTAACATTTCATTTCTTCTGTTATAGATGCCGTTGATCCTCAACTCGATCACAGAACAACCTATAACCGCCTATCTACAATCGATAATGGGACGTGCTCAGTTATGTATAAACTAATAACAAGTTAGATGAAGAGATGATGAAGAAGAACAATGAATGTGAGAAGATTCCTGTGTTTCTGTTTCCGTTTCCCCCTTCCCATCCGCACCCCCGCCTAAATCTTGTTCTTTCCATTCTTCCCATTCCTCACCACCCGCCCCCACCTTCGTCCAATTCTGTTATGTGTGTTGTTAGAACACTGTGTAATTTTATTCAAAGATTTTATGTGTTTCTATCCATATTATACATATATACATATTCAGATTTTGATCACTATTCACCACTATTTCACATTCTCTACTATGTGTTTGTGTTTAATGCGTACGTGTGTGTGTGTGTGTGTGTGCGAGCCATCGAGCGAGAGAGACAGTTGAAGCAGTTTAGGTTAACGAATTCTTTTTTGACATCACAGAGACGCACGCACCCACTACTCCCCCCTTATTTCCTGCCTTTTCAACAGATCAGCTCCGTCTTCTTCTCCTTCCTTTGCCGCCTCCTTCATCTTAGAGAATTTTTTATATTTTGTGTCTCTCCCCCCCACCGAACTCACCATTTTTGATACTTTCACCATCCGCCTCTTTTATACGGCACTGATTTTCCCTTTTTCCCCTAATCCGGTTATTTTTTTATTTTTGTTGTTGTTGCTCTTTCCAATTTTTGCACATTTTGAGTTCTAGTGTTCAACATGTGTGTGTGCGTGCATGCATGCATGAATGCGTGGGTGTGTGCACGTGATGATGCCTTTATACCTCTGTTATTATTATTATTACTATTTTTCAAAAAATCTCTTTTAGGAGTTCAGTTTTCTTTACAATGGTGTGTCTTGTTGACATTATTGTGTTTTTGTGTGTATTTCTCCACCCCACCTATCCTTCGTTTTTTTTAAAAGGGAGTGGGACACAGAGAGTGGTGCTGGTGGTAGTGGTGAAGTGTTAGCGAGAGAGAGAGAGAAAGAGAGACACGCTTAAATGCATTTTTTATACTCAATCTTGTTTCTCAATTTCATTTGTTTTCGTTTTTTGGTATTAGATTATAAAATAATGATGATTAACAAAGGCTGGGGTTTTTTCCTCCCCTGAAACTACCTCTTCCTCCCAACTGTCGTTTTTGTGTATATTGTGTGTGTGTGTGTGTGTGTAGAGAGAGAGAGAGAGAGGGAACAAATTGTTGCTATTAGGAAGCCTTGGACACCACCTGCGTTTCATGCAAGTTGGAACTCATAAGTCAATCAGCAAGGCAAGCGTATCTTCAGCCTCAAAGGAACTCATGTCCCACCGGTCTGAGATTTGGACCCACGTCGCCCAGTGGCTACCTGCAGTCAGAGACGTTAACACTGAGCTTTTCAGGCTAGCGATGATATAGTCCTTTTAGGCGAGGATGATGACAAAGCTAAGCAGAGTCTTCTGAACACCTTGAACTGTAATCTATGAATGTTTGGCATGCGATTCGCTCCCGAGTACACTAACTCCTAGTTTAGAAATACGGGGTGAATTGGTAGAGCACATTGACCGCTTCACTTGTTTGGGAAATACCATCAATCAGCCAGTGCCAACGGGTTGATCTCTGATGAAATCTCACTACGGGTACAGAGGGCCAGTTTACGCTGTCTCTGGCGTAGACGTGATATCCGGCTGGCTGGCTGTCGACCAAAGGGCGGGTGTAGTGCTCGTCAGTTTGCTCCGTCCTCCTTTATGGCTGTGAGTCCTGGACATTGAGGGTGTAAGACATGAAACACCTAGCCAGCTGTCTTTGATCATAGGTGCCTGCGTCCTATCTCCCGTGTCAAATGGTATAATAGGGTGAGCGATATTGAGGTTAGGCTTCGGTCGAGTGCTAGGTAAGAAGGGGAGATCAATCGATGAGGCTGTGAAGTTACATCGACTGAGATGGATACGACATGTGTTACTTATGCCTAGTCATCGCCTTCCTCGACAATGGGAAATGTTCTGTGATACAGGGTCAGGCTGGAAAAGAGCTAGCCACCGGCTTCGCCAGACAATGAAATCCACAATAATTAGTTTAAGACAGCCACGTAGGAAGGTGTAGACTTCCTGATTGGCTGGTTGGGGTCCTTGGGATCGTAACAACCAATGGCTGAAAACAATTGTCGATATGCCTCAAACTCATCGTTCTCTCAATGACTGGCGTAGATGCCATTCATTCCGTGTGACTTATGATTTCAAATGAAACTATGTCGTTCTTCATTATTACTCTACCTTTGTTTCACATCTCTGTTTATTGTCTCTATTATGCATTTCTTCTCTTGCTTTGTGTGCTACATGGGTATGGGGGGAGTATGGCGACTTGAACTTCTGCACATTGGTGCAAAGTTCTATGTCGAAAATAGACAGACAGCGATTGACCTTCTTCCTGTAGGACTGTAGTATTGGATATTTTTGTTGATTGGACACTAGTCAGTAAATAGTGTAGTGTATGTGTGTCTGTGTGTGTGTAGTAGGTCCTACCTTTGGTGCAGACTGAATTCTATTCGTCCAGTTTGCAATTGCCTCTTACCATCTTAATATCAACAATTCACAGTACAGTGCACCGTGTTGGCGAGCCATCTAGTGGCATCGTGGCCACATTGCAAATTTGACTGACTAATAGAATTCAGTCTACATCAAACAGAGGACTAGACACGCAGATTACACTAGTTACTAACTAGTGTTCAATCAAGAGGAGCATCCAAATAAGTATAAATATCGTGATTACGTCATCAAGGCGTATTCTGTTACAGAAACTGTCACTACAAGAACAGATGAATCCATGAATTCACACTGATGAAGAGGTCATATTTCATAAAGTCTCATGAACAGCAAATTTTACTGAGATGTGCTAATTTTTGAGGTTATTCTGTGTGTGTGTGTGTGTGTGTGTATTTTAAGAAGAAAGCCAGTCTAAGGATTGAGTTCTTGTCGGGAAAAGTAACTATTGTCTCATAATGATTAAGAACTATTATGTACTCGTCGCCAAATTATTGTTATGTACTGGTCGAGAATTTAATAGTCCTGACGCAAGAAAGACGGAAATCAGAAGACCACTAGGTTTGCGATGATACTTCTATTTTCCAAAACACCAGGAGAAGTAATGTATCACACAATAGTGTGAGAGCAAAAATATATATGAATGTCCAAACAAGTGTGTGAACAAATCAATAGACAGTCTTAACATGATTGGCTAATTATAATGGAGTATCGATCCATATATACATAGCGAAATATAACAGACTGTCAAACAAACACACATATTATATATACTATAAGGGGAATATACATTGTTAAAGGAGACAGGTTCATCAAAGTGAAATGGTCACAGACTAAGGGAGCAACAGAAAGAGAGACCACCATATATGTATATATATATATACATGGATACATATCAAGAACAAACAGTGTTTAGCCAAGGATTTACTTTTCGGTGGTGAATTCCTCCACTTAGCTGTGCAGAGTAGCACTTATGACCGACTGACTGGTTTCAAGGTAGACCTATGCACAGATGTGATAAAGTTCCAGTTGCTGCTTGTCTTCCTCCTTATAGCACAGAAAGCAAGAGAATTATAATTATTATTGTATCCTTTAGTTCCTAGAGGAATATAGGGCTTCAGCTGCGCACCTCCATTGCCTTCTGTTTTCTGACAACTTTTTCACCCCGCTCCAGATCTGTCCACATGCTTTCATCTCCTCCTCCAAGTCACCCTTGGATGACTAACTCGCCGCCTCCCTTTCGGGTTCCACTCGAGGGCTTGTCTAGTGATGTCACTCACTTGATGGTTTCCTCAGAGCATGGCCAATCCATCTCCATTTCTTCCTGCCTATTTGTTTCACAATCGGTTCCTCCCAGAGATCTTTGTTGCTGATCTTTTCTGGCCATCTGATCTTGAGTATTGAGCGAAGACAGCTGTTAATGAAGGTCTGAAGTTTGTTTGAGATGCTCTTTCTTTTCGAAAGCAAGAGAATAGAGATAATAAACAGAAATGTGAGGCAAAAAGAATAGTAATATTATGCAAGAACGATAGAATTTTACTGTTTATTATCAATCACAAAGAGTAGTGAATGCATCTGCACCAGCCATTGAAAACGAGGATTTTTAGCCATATCACAAGTTGTCTCCAGTCTTCATTGGTTTATACTACCCCGAGGACGCCAAGCAGCCAGTTAGGAAGTCAACACCTCCCTCCTGTCATGCTAGAACCTTTAGGGATATTAGTTCCACCCAGTGTAGCTTGTTGGGTCATTGTGATATGCAAGCCCGACCACCGCCAACCTCACCACACCGAGTTAGCAGCTATCTATCCGGGCAATTATGTTTAATTATTTTTTCGTACGTGTGTGTATGTACATAAGGAAGTGAAGTGGTAGAGCACGTTGACCGCTTCACTTATTTGGGAAGTACCATCAGCCCCAACGGGCTGATCTCTGACGAGATCTCAGCACGAATACAAGGGCTCGTTTCGCATTTGCCAGTTTACGCCGACTCTGGCGTAGACGAGATGTTCGACTATCGACCAAAGGCGGGTGTACTGCTCATCAGTCCGTTCCGTCCTCCTTTATGGTTGTGAGACCTGGTCACTGAGAGTGGAAGACATGAAACGCCTAGCCAGCTGTCTTTGATCATAGGTGCCTGCGTTCTATTTCCCGTGTAAAGTGGCATAATAAGGTGAGCAACATTGAGGTTAGGCGCCGAGTTCTAGGTAAACAGGGGAAATCAATCGACGAAGTCGTGAAGCTACAAAGACTGAGATGGTTAGGACATGTGTTACGTATGCCAAGCCATCGCCTCCCTCGACGAGCTATGTTAGCGGATATAGGGTCAGGCTGGAAAAAAGCTAGCGGCGGTCAAACAAAAACTTGGCATCAGTCAATGAAATCCACAACAGTTGGTCTAAGCCACGTAGAAGGTGTAGACTTCCAGGCTGGGGTCCTCGGGACGGTAAAAATCTATGGTTGGAAACAATTGGTGACATGGCTCAAAATCGTTCACAGTGGCGCAGATGCATCCACTCCCTGTGACTTATGATCTTCAATGAAACTGTTTTGTATTTCTTTATTACTCCTTTGTCTCACACCTCTGCTCACTGTTTCTATTATGCTTTTCTTGTACTTTCTTCTCTTGCTTCGCGTGCTACACGGAATGTGGCGAATTGAACTGGTGCACATTTGTGCAAAGTTCTATGTCGAAGACAGACAGACATAAGGTTTGTCAGACAAGAATCTAAATTACTTTGGGTAATTATTTATGTCATCAAAATATTAAGAAAATTGTGATGAATGATCAGATTGTAACTAGGCACGGGGTCGGTGGGGGAGTGAAGATTAGTAGGTTTCGACAAGGATTACGTAATATGGAAAACGTCCAGAAAAATAGGATGGTAATGAAAAACCATGGAATCAAGTATCAAAATAAATTAGGTGAGGACAATAAACAGAGGTTGATAATAATAATAATAAATGCCATGTGAAAAATTCACAAAAATAGTGTTAAAAAACAAAATATTGAAGACGGTTGAACTTATAATTATACCCAGAATAGAAGGAAGGAGAGTATGGAAAAGTTTCTTCCGTATGTACATAAATCAGGGTTATCGGTCTGAATCACTAAAGTCTCGGTAATGCAAAGTATGCACAGACACAGTTTTTGGGGAAGCCTCTTTTGACGCTGTAGATAGCTTTGAATGAATTCTTCTATAATAAATGATCAGTGTTGAATATATGTTCACTTTTACAGCACTCCTTATTGATCCATTCTCTTTCCTTTCTGTAGTCGAGCAGCGGCATAATGTTCATTGACTTATCGAATGATCTATATATCTCGCTCACTGCACATGTGCAAGTAAATTGCTAGGTACACATAGAAGTGGTCAAATAAGATAGTTTGTCTTTGGAGTTGTTGTAAAACACTGGACAGCACGAGAATAGTAATCGTAATGTATCAGCAAGGAATGCTGTATTCAGGGGGTTTGATATTCTCTTCTTAAGGATGTCAGTCAGAAGGTCGTCTTTGATATATAAACCCACATTCATGTATAGCATCTTCTTCGGCATAGAGATGCGGTGTTCTTTGTTGGTTTTTTTGCGCTCTA